AGTGTCTTTTCATCTTTTCCTCAAAAAGACCATCGGAGTGAAACAACAATAGAGTATCTATTCGCGGCCTATCGGTGTGTATCTGTGACTCGCTCAGTCAAATCAGGCAGGATTTCCACTTATTCAGCCTCAGATCCCTCTGCTGCTCATCAGTGCCGTCGCATCAGGGGTCTCTCTGAATGCGTCTCTGAATCCTTTCCATCTCCAACGTCAACGCTTTCTCTCACCTCACAGTTCTTGCACATCCCATATGATCCTTTACGATGCAAGATAAACAGGGTCTGATGCTTGTATTTGTTTGTGTCTGCCAACGGGGATAACACACTGTCTGACGGCTTTCTTTGTTTCCTTTCACAGACAATGCGGCTACAGCAAGGCTTCTCAAGAGGGCGACGAGGAACTTTACTTCCAGTGTAAGTGACGCCTCTGATAACTCTATTACTGTGATCCGGCAGAAGACCTATTTCTTAATGCTCTTAATGTCTTTCATTTTTGTAAAGCACTTTGAATTGCCTTGTGTTATAAGGCGCTATATAAATAAACTTGCCTTGCCTAAATCCATGGGGGGGCATTTGATTAGAGAGGGCAGTCCCACGGTAAAAATAATAGGTGTCACGGGCACATGATTTTATTGATGTTGGTGATTAATTACAAGCATATCTCCCAATCTATACGTAACATACAGAATGTGCGTCTTGAATTTCACTGACCTGAAAACCACATAGTTAAAGAGATAACTTTGCATTTAAGAAATAAAAACGCAATTCTCCGGGGCATTGCCAATATGTTGGTTCAGTTTCGTCCCAGCAGAGGGATATCGTTGTAACAACATGAACATCTAGGCTACCCGGAACTGTGCTATTTTGATGCTTTCTTATGCATTTTGGCAACACACTTGCATGCAAAAAACATATCTCAATGATTGAAAAATGTAGATGTGTAAGTTACCCCAACACCATGTTTATTTTGAAGATTTCATATGAATTGTGCAGAAAAAATATCCTCTTCTGCCTCTGTCGATCAGGGCTGACCACAAAGACACACGCACACAAAGTTAGTTTAAAGACCTGCATTATTCTGACATGATTGTAATGTGACCACTATCTCACATTCACACACATTGAGTTTATTTTCTTCACATCAGCTTACATTTAAAATCTGTTGGGGCCTGCTTAACTTTCTTTTAGTATACATCCATGGCCTAGACATTGATAATAATAACGCTGATTTCTCCTGGGAGGGCAAAAATACTGAATGGGCAGGCCGGCTGTACACAGATGTGTGTGTGCGTGAATTCACTATGGGTCTTTGTGTTCAATCTCCATTTAAAGAGGGGGGGGGAATCAGCCGATGAAATGCTTTGTCTTTAAGATTCCATGTGCTGGAATGCATGTGATTACATATGACTTTTGAGGCATTAAGTAATGCCACAGCACTAATTCTAAATTCTGAGTGCACGCTTAGCCAACTCTGAGCACACGGACACAGTCCATTAGGGGGTGTGTGCGGCTGAGTTTGATGGGGGGGGAGATAAAAAGAGCTGGAAACGGGGGGGAGGGGAGGAGAAAGAGGGTAAAAGCTCCAGAACCAGGCATCAGAGATTTCCAAAAAGCTAGTTAAACATTATTGTATATGTTGAACAATATTGTACATTTTTAGCTCTCAATAGCCATTGTGGCAGATTGAAGTAGTTTGACATATCTTTCCGTGTTTGTGTTTAAATGCATGCGCCAACGCTTTGATAATGTGGTGGATGTGTGTGATTTCAGAGTTTCCTTGTGTGTGTATGTGTTTACACAGTTTTGTAAATGCAGTGTGTGCGTGCTCATTTGCGTTGTTTAATCTCCCAGCATGCTGAGCCCTCTGGAGAGGTTTGGAGCACTACGCCCGATGAATAATGAGCCGAAGCCATGCGGCTGGGAATTCAATCTGCCCAAACAAAGACATGCCAACAGCTGACAAGCACGCAACACACACGGAAACACACACACACACACACACACACACACACACACACACACACACACATATTTGGCCAGCTTTTCAAACACACACACAATTTATTGAACAGACACAAGGATAAACAGGCACAAAGACACTTTTTTGTCCTCTTTTTCAAACACTTCCTGTTTCGTGACTGTGGCTCTCATGAGTGCTTGGTACTGAGTGTCATTTCAGCCAGATTACATTTTTGTCTCTCCTCCTATCTGTTCACTTACTCTCAAAACCCCATTCCTGACCGGAAATTAACACAAAAGGATGAATGAGAAAGAGCGTTGGAAGTATGAAGAGGTGAGTTGGCTGAGATGGAGAGACTCATCATAAGTGACACGGCTCAGAACATTAGCTTTATGTCGGAGTATGTGACCTAGAAATGCGCAAAAAGGGGGGGGTTCATCTGCAATCTCCATTAATAGACCACTTTCAGATATCTGTCAGAGTTCAATTACAGAGAGAGAATGTATCAGTGGAAATAAATTGGAGAAGCAAAAGGCACGATGGAGGTTAAGAATGAAAATATTTGGGGGTGGGCATGCTCACTCTGTGGTCCATTGAAAATGATGCAGCCAAGTGTGAATATGCTTCAGTTTCCCCTCAATCGCTCATGGCGGTGACACAGTTAACCCTGAAACTAATCACCCTCAGAGCCAATGAAGCGTGCACCTGAGTGTGTGTGTGTGTGTGTGACATCTGTATCTGAGCATTTGCAGACATTTCCAGATGATACTGTTCATTTTATGGCAATTGAGCCCCCCCTTTTTTATGTGTGTGTGCTATGTATGTACTGCACAGCTGGTTGTAACCTATAAAGTGTTTTTGAAAACCCTCTTTGACAGAAAAGAGTGTTCGATCTTCTACTCAGCCCTGGCCTTGAATAGAAAAGGTTTCATTTGCTCCATAATTTGACTTTTGGCTCTGTGTGTGTGTGTGTGTGTGTGTGTGTGTGTGTGTGTGTGTGTGTGTGTGTGTGTGTGTGTGTGTGTGTGTGTGTGTGTGTGTGTGTGTGTGTGTGTGTGTGATCAATAAGCCGTTACGAGGCAGCCAGTATAGGATCTCTCCTGTCGATCTAGAGCTGTAATCACATTTCAGTGCCTCAACGCAGCTTTTGGGAAAACTACCAGACCTTTTTCCTGGAATATTGGTCCTAATAGGTAGTAAACAGGGTCAAAGGTCGTCTAATTGAGTACTTTAGTCCATTCCTTAATGGTCATTGGCTATCTGCTGGCTAGTTTATTTGCTAGGTGCTCTGTAAATACAATTGGCAGTAGATAAAGAAAACAAGAGGCCCGTTGAGAAACCTGGAGGTCTTTTCTTTTTGTTGTGTAAAGTCAAACAGTTGGTGTCAATATCACTTGCTGTTTTAAAATGTCAGCGGAAATTTGCTATTGTTTTGTCCCATTAGTGTCACAGAAGATATTTTGTAGAGGGCATGGTAATTGTTAATATTAACCTTCTCTTTGAATAATGAATCTATTATGAATTGACACTTGTTTTTATTTTTGTATTCTTATATAAAACCGAGTTATTTAGCCCAAAATACATCACTTTAAACTCACCAGGCTATTTATCAATTGTCTCGTTATGGTAAGAGGACATAAAGTCATGTTATTTTTGGCCTAAGCTGTCACTATTCATGTTAAGCACCAGTACCCAAGCGCTAAAACGAACAAAAAAGCAGCATACCAGCTACGTGTACCCTGTCACTTTAAGGTTTCCCTGCCTCAGCAATTTATGTCTATTATGTCCTGTCCCAATTTCTGCCTGAAGATTACATTGTGTTTGTGTGTGTCTGTTATTTTGCATATGTGTGTGTGTTAGTGAGATAACATTTTGAGGCAAGCAGAGAAGACAAAAAGCTCCTGTGATCTGAGTAAAGCCGCATGGAGGAAACCCAAAGTCAGATTTTAAGCAGCCGGAGCCTTTGATCTCGACTTTTTCTCTTTGCCTCTGGAGTTCGCAAGGTCACAACAAAAAACTGAGAATTAGTCAAGTTAGGAATACATAAGCATTTTGTATCTACTTGAAAAAAATATATTCATACAACATCCTTTTTAGCTTGTACCTGTCTATTTTTCGTTTTTTTGTTGTTTCTGTTAATTAAAACCACAGACACTGCATTTATGGGAAAAAATTGTTATAAAACAAAGGATCATTCCATTCGGGTTACAATGGGGGATAATTGAAATATCCTGAAATTAATTTGTACAACCTTGAAAGAAAGAATGCAAAAAAACGTGTTCATCTGTCTATCGACCTCTGCTTCGCTTTAGTACGATGCAACCCAGACCCTAAACACCACAAACAGTGTTGAATCTGTGTAATAAATGTCTTGTTTTTCGCTATTTTCTATAAATACACAGCATCCTTAAACAGAGGGGGATTATCGAGCAAATAGAAAACACACATTATTCAACGATTGGCATGTCTTGACCAATCAGTACGCCCTTAGTTTGAAGTAGACCCACAGTTATTGTGGGGTTTGATAGCAGAAACATTTTTGTGCTATCTCCAACATCAATAATAAAACTGAGGTATTGATTTTTGTCTCTGGATCAAAGAGTAAGAGCCTTTTCCCAGACACAACATCTTGGTCTAATGTTCAACAATCATACAGAGAGAAACTCTTTGTTGAAGGAGCCAGAGATACCAATTTCTCCGCTGACTGTAGCACAAAGCGCTGCAGACATCAGAACTGAGGTACTGCCAGGGCAACAAAACATTTCGATAGCTATCTGTTTTTATTTTTCTTATACACAGTTTAATGGTATCTGAATCTGACTGTGGCTCCTTTTTCTCTTTTCTGTGCCTCATGTGGACATTTTGCTGCTGGGGCCGCAGACTCTTATCTTTTAATGTCTGTCTTTGTGCAGACAAGCATGTGGACCGTATATGATGTGTTGCTGCTTGTTGATTTTTGGGACAATGGAAAGGTTTTGCTTCACTAGTACACTTCCACATCCATTTTTGGTGAGGTTTGTCTTATGTTTGTGTGTTTTCAGTTAAGATCCCAACACGGAGGACCTACATCGACCCGGAGACCTGCGAGGACCTGCTGCAGGCCGTGCACGCTTTCGCCAAGGAGCTGGACAACTCCAGCATCAAGATCGAGAGAATTGTGCACACAGGTAGGTGACTGTTTACGGGAACAAAGTAGGGTTGTTACAACACTTTAAAGATGCTTTCAAAACGGGTACTTCTGTAATTTAGTATTCAAAGAAGCACAAGCAGAGTAATCACAAGTTAAAACATTTTTAGTATGGGTCAAACGCCTTTTTTAGACCCTCCCTGAATGCCCGTCTTTCAAACTCCACATCCTGAGGGCATATGTCATAAGATTCATGACCACTCTAATGATATCGTAATTTTTTAAGACTTTAGAAAGCCCTTTAGAGAGCTACAGAAGACATTTTACATCAGTTTTACAAGCGGAGTATATTCCTTGTGATGAGCAAAATGATTTTCATTTGTACCTGAGCACTGCGCTGGGAACCGTATATCATAAGTGGCACAGTAAGAGTGATGCAATTCTTTATAACCACTGCAAGAAAAGGGCAGGCAAACAGAATTTGAGCCATTAGCACCTGCTGTAATCTTGAGATAACTGGAGTTTTTTTTGCATTTTCCCTTTTACATGCCATGAGAAAAATCGAAGAAACCAGTTCAAGCTGTTTTGCCACTTAATGATCTGCCAAAATCAAGCTTGCCTGTCTGTGTTCTCTGTACTCCATGTTCTGCTGTTTCACCTGCACCCTACCCAATCTCTGATGTCTCTTTGATCCCTTTGTATTTCATGTCTCTCTCTCCCTCAACAGTGTCTGTTCATTTGCGTCTTCTCTGCTTCTCCTTGTATTTCTCCATTGGATTCTACTCCAACATGATTCCCTGCTCTGTGTAACTCTCTCTTATTCGTCCCTCTTAACACAGATATTACTCCATATCATCACCCTGCTTTTCTTTTCCCCGCTCTCTCTGGTTTCTCCTCCATCAACAGGGATCATGACCTCTGATTGTGTGTCTCCCCCTACAGGTGACTTTGGGGAGGTGTGTCGCGGCTGCCTGAAGCTGCCCAGTAAGAGGGAGCTACCAGTGGCCATAAAGACGTTAAGGGCGGGCTGCTCTGACAAACAGCGACGCTCCTTTTTAAGCGAGGCCGGCATCCTGGGGCAGTTTGACCACGCCAACATCATCCGGCTGGAGGGCGTCATCACCACGGGTAAGCAGGATGGGGGCAGGTTTTATCACAACCCTCGGCGGCGTGTGGCGCAGTGGATAGAGCGTTGGTGTTCAGATCAAGGGAGCACAGGTTCAAACCCCACTGCAGTTAGCATGTCGTTGTGTCCCTGGGCAAGACACTTCACCCCAAATTGCTCCTGTGGGGATTGTCCACAGTATTGAGTATGGAAGTCGCTTTGGATTAAAGCGTCAAACAAGTGACATGTAATGTAATGTAATCAAGCAGGAAGTAGGAGGTTAAAGGCAGTTTGGGAGGAAGGTGAGCGGGAGAAGATGAAAAGAAGCATAGAAGTGGGGAAAATACTCCAAGGATCAAGGAGAAATGGAAGACTTTGACCATCTCTAGTAGCATAAAGTGGGTTCATCACCTTCATCGTCTCGGAGGAAGGGAAAAGGAAGCGGAGGCTGTAGGGGTAAACAATGGAGCTGCATTCCAATATCACACGTGCAGAGGGGGTCACCACTTTTTGCAACTAAGAAGCGAGATGGGAAGAAAACTGGGAGAGGAGCATAGGCAGGAGGAGAGATGATTGGAAAGAGCCGAACCCGACCGCTTCAATATCGCACGCATGGGGGAGGGGTCAACGCCTACAGTGAAGAGTGCAGACTAACGTAAGGAAAAGGAGAAGAGGTTGAAGTGTAGAGAGCAGGACGCGAGATAGATTCCGACGCTAGCAGCAGCCGAGCTACATCAAGGCCCATTTTTACACTGACAGATAGCAATTGAGGTCCTAGAGCGAAAACAGGATGGGAGGACAGGGAGGGGGGGGGAAACTTGAACGGAGGAGAGACATGAGAGACGGAGAAGATGAGGTAGAGGTTAATGGGAATGGCAGGTGAAGGGAGAAGCTTTAAAGAGTTTGTGAAGTTTTTGTTACTGCCGCAGTGATGCTGTGTGTGTGTGTGTGTGTGTGTGTGTGTGTGTGTGTGTGTGTGTGTGTGTGTGTGTGTGTGTGTGTGTGTGTGTGTGTGTGTGTGTGTGTGTGTGTGTGCAAGGTGCCCGAACACACTGCGCTCAGTAGGATGGCAGCAGATGTGCAGGGTACAGTAATTGGTGCTAGAGACCCAGCGGGGCACTGAGATCCACTCCAATCTCTCCCACCATCATGTGTGCTCACACACACACACACACACACACACACACACACACACACACACACACACACACACTCCAATGCATGCTCTCACACACGTACAAAGGCAGTCCCATATGCTCATTTTGTCTGAGAGCATGCATTGGAGTGTGTGTGTGTGTGTGTGTGTGTGTGTGTGTGTGTGTGTGTGTGTGAGCAAGCTTTAGGCTGGGGGGCCATGTGGTACAGCACAGGCATTTGATGTGAAGAATTGTGCCCGAGGTTAAGCAAGATGTCTGCCATCTCTCTCCAGAGTCTGCTGCTGATACGGTGAACTTAAACCATCACATCAGGTGCACAGGGTGGGAGGGAACTTATAGACTCATATCCCCCTTCAATTTAAACTTTAGATTGGTCACACCTCCCACTTTCTTGGTGTGACTGATGTCACAGGGCTGGACACACTTTCATAAAGTTCTGTGAAAAAGTAGTAGTCAGCGATTGGCTGCATCAGGGGGATTTGAATCAGTCTGACCTACATGTGAGCTATGATCTGAGTATGTTCAGTCAGGCAACAAGTGGTGCATTTATTCTGATGCTGGTCAAATTATAACCTACTTTACTCAAATAGAGAACACATAATACATTTCAAGGTATGCTACAGTCATCTAATAGCATTCAATAAGAGGGAAGATGTGGAAACACACAGACCTCTCACACAATGCAAACCATCTCAAGTTGAAATAAATCATAAAGAGGCATGATAAATGATGAAAAGAAAAAGGGAAAAAAAAAGATTTGTGTGGAGGAGAAAATAACTCATATCATCAAGTGAATGACTGAGGTAAAGGCATAAAGAAAAAGGGGGGTTTGGTCTCAACCACATGCAATGTGGAGATGGTCCTGATCATGGCAGGGAGGAGGCAAGAGCAGCAGCAGACATTTTGCTTTCCAGATGAAAGCAAAACTTAAACTGAGGCATGGTTTACTTAACATCTGAAGAACATACTAAATAAAACAAACTCGCCTCGTCATAACAACATCCACAGAGGAAATAGTTATGACCAGGACCCCAGGTAAAGGTTGCTAAGTCATGCAGAATCGTTAACTTGCATACCTTGGCCCATTCTATTCATCCTTGTTGCACTTCAGAAAAAAAGGCAAGTAATCTACTGTAAGTAAGTAGTATTTACAGTCAATACACAACTGACAAATGACTACCAGTCTAACTAAGGCTTACATATTATTTCTACTATAGTATTTAGGCTAGATCATACATCTTTATTTTAAGATGTATTGAGGAATAATTATCTACCATTGAAAGATTCCTTTACGTGCATAAAAAATCTGCATGCTTTTTAAATAATGTCACAATTCCAAAATACTTCATTCTCCCATAAATAAAATGCAAAGTTTATATTTTTGGGGGGAGAATAAGAAGTATATAACATGTAGGTAATCATATTTCGAACTATCCTATTATTTTATAATAAACAGAACAGGAAAGAAGGCTTCCAACATGGACATGCAATAAAAAGCAGTACAAAAGCACCAACAAAATATCAACACTGCTAATGAGGAATGGTTTCATGAGTAACAGCTTATAAGTAATGTAAGCCAAATGTGCTTTATAGTAACTACAGTGGGTAAATCATAAAACATTACATCCATGATCAAGGCGTACTGATCACGTTTGTTAAATAGGCACACATATCCAACGCACAACAATTAATAAATCACTACACATTAAAAAGAGTGAGAGACAAACACTAAATATTACGACAGATACAACAGGTAGACTGAACAACAAACTGAATGTGTGTTGTGTGATGTCAATATATCTGTCTGTGGTTGAGGCCTTAACTGAAAGCTTGTTTCCAAACACAAAGGCTGTGCCATCTAAACAAGTGGTTTTACTGTTTACAATGCCACAGACTTAATTAGTAAGAAAAGACTCTCTACAGTCTTTGACTATGATAAATGAACTTTCCACAAAGCGGGTTTACCATTTTGTTCATGTCATGTTATGATTGCTGTGATGCGAGAGTGAATACCACATGCAGATGATTATGAAGGAAACGTACAAACACCGAGCATCGACGCAGAGCACAAATCTCACAAACAAACACACACAACACAGTATTTATCAGCGCATGTGTCACCACAGTCTGCACACAAACACACACACCAGGTCAGGTATAAAACACTTAACATGCAGGCTAATACTCTACAGGCCACTTTAGTGTACGTACTTCTGTTTGTCGCGGGGCTCCCTGGTCTTACTGGTGCGGTTCTGCCGGTTGGAGGCTGGGATGGAGTGGACGGAGGAGCTCTTTTTGCTGGAGGAATGGGAGGAGTGGGAAGAGTGGGACAAGTTTGTTCGGGACTGGCCTGCGTTGTGGTCAAACTGCATCAGGCAGAAGATCAGGTCTGAGGGCACCAGCTCAAACTCATACGGTGGGTTCGTGATCACATATCTGCCCAGAAAACAAATGATAGGGAAGATTAAATGTGTATAATACTTAAGGGGAGGCTTTAAACAGAGAAGGATACATCAAAGACAGAAAGGTATGCTGTATATCGAGTACGCTTAATCCCTAAAACATTAAAAGGAGGAATATGAATAGATGTATGAGAACAAATGGATCAAAACTAAAGAGCTCAGTATTGCACAGTATTTACTTAAGGACGTTCAGAGACTTTTTAGAATTTCGTTCGTAACTAAAAACACTGTCTATATGCATGTGGAAATTATAAAGCAATTAATTGTATACAATAAAGAGAACAATTACTGCAATATTCATTATATTTAACACATGTTTTGTCAATAAGGAACAACATTTGAATTACATTTCATAGATGTATGCATTACAATACAACATAATAATAGTATAATAATCATGAGGCAATGCCATGTATCATTTGAATAATGGGTTTAAATGGAGACATCTATGTCTGTTAAACAGTACGTTATTTATTTTGTTTAACAATTAAGTACCATACTGATACGTTTTGAGCAATTTGTACTTGACTTGCAGTTATCTAAATGTTTATATTATAGTATATGATTATCATTGGGTAATATATATTCAATACACGTCCAGGTCAATGTCAAAGTATTATCATTAGTCTCTTTTTTAAGTTTGTATTTTATTATTGAATATCTAAGACAAACATTTTAGATTTAATTAGTTAAAAGAACATTTTGACACAGATGAAAGGCAGTGTTTGTACCGCTTTGTGCACGGGCTCGGTCCATTGATGTGAGCGTCTCTTAATCTGTAGATTCCAAAGCACAGCATGTTGTACGTCTTCAGTGCTTTACAGAATAAGTCCCCATAGCAGCCGCCATCCTGATGAACAACAGAACAAAGACACCATCAGTGAGGTCTGTGTGAGGAACTGCATTGGTGGCAGTTCATGTAATTCTCTGTAAAGTTGTAGGGAAAATGCAATGTTCTGCATTGCTGAGGGAATCTTGTGAGCAAATTCAAACTGTTGGCAATGTAGACTGCAACAATACACAAGGTTATTTGCTAATTCAATACAAATTATGCTATAATTCATCCAAGAAACAAATAAATACAGCATTGCAAGTTGTGAGTACAAATAACAAAAACCTGAAAATACGAAGTTGGAACCAATCGAATTTGGAATTTCTTTGATGGTGTTATTGTTTTCTCTAAAGCCATCTTCCTTCTCCGCCCACTAAGGCCTGCTTTCCGTGATCACTGTTCTTCACATTGGATTAAGAGACGTGAGGAGCGGAGGCGGCCCGATGTGTGCTGCTGGGTACTGCCAAAACGTGTCATCTTCGCTTAAACATCCACTTACCCCCAAGTCTGCAAAAGGCCCGTCGTAGAGGGCTAGCTGGGCGACGCGACACCTGTCTCTGTTGGCCAGTGTCTGCGGTGTGCTGTATCCTCCTCTGAGAGCGTTCTCCTCAGCCAACAGGGCCTCCAGCTCTGGTGTGGCCCCCCCTGTGACCAGCGTCCGAATCAGTGTGAGGATGTTATCATTGAAGTATGTCTGGGGAGAAGAGAGAGGGATATCAGTGAGCAGATGCCGGTAGAGTCACAAGTAGGGAGGTGGTAGATGAGGGAGAAAAGCAAAGCCCATGTAGTGACCCTCAGACCCTCGTCTTTTCACATAGTGATGACTGTGAGGGGAGGAGAAGACTATAGAAAGACTATAGAGGGCTCTGGCAGTAGCTTCTAATGTCTTGTTTTACACAAAAAAAAGATATATATATATTTGCATTTACCTCTATTGGTATGAGGCTTTGCAAATAGCTCTGCTTTTATCTGCTCAGGGTTTTGGAAATATGTCTTTGAGACCCCTTTCTACCCACAAGATACAACGGACTAAAATTACATTTTTAGGATCAGCATTTCTGTTACTTTTGAAAATAGTAACACCTCTCTGTACTGTTTTAATTAGAACACATTTCTAAGAAGCAATTATTTTAACACCAGACCGTTCGACTAAATCAAAGCAAGACATTTCGCTGCTGAATTCTATAAATGTTTTTTTTCAGGGTGGATGAGGCAGCAATCTTGAGACGGTTTTATTGGATCAGATTTTTTAAAACATCTCAATGCCTGATGCATGAACATCAGAGCTTAGTGAGGTATTATTTATTTTTAATAACACCCCTTAAGTTATTCATTGTAAAATGTATTTTATAAGGTTAAGGTAGAATGTCCATAAATCTATCAAATTTAAGAGAGACATGATATTTTGATAATCACAGTATTGTAGGATCATTCCGTTAAATAAAACAGTTACTATTCTTTCCTCTAGCATCACTGATCTACACGCTGTATGGTGTCTGCTTCTGAAACAGCGATTTGACTGCTCTCTGCGGGTGTCAGGTTCTCTTGTCCTTCAAGCCGATCAGGAACTGCTTTTCGGCGTGTGAAGACAGCCGATGTCACTCCGCAGCGGGGCCAGAGTGGCAGCTCCTCTCCCCGGGCCCCTGACAGGCCTGCAGAGCCTCATGATGGATGAGCACTGTCCATTAGCTGGCTTCACCTCTGACCAGTGCCAGACTACAGCTGACGCCTGCTCTACTCCCCGCTCAGCTCCGCTCTGAACGCCCCTCTAACCCCTCACTCACAGAGAAAGCTGCTGGAATTAAGCCATCACAGCACCGAGGGGAAAACCACAGTTGGGCATGAAAGAGGGGAGTGGAAAAATGAGGTGTAGAGGAGGATTTTTTTTATCTCCCAAGCTCCCCCTTTATCATATCTCCAGTGCAGCAATGACATTGTCAAGATGAGAGAGTGTTCCTCTGGCTTGTTACTTCCAAGCTTGTGCCATCACCATTACACTAACCTTCAACACTTTCTTTGTTAAAGGATCTATTAAGGCTCTTGAAAGTTGAATTTATAATGTTAATGTCAATGGAGCTGGCAGGCATGGGCGATGAATGCAGTATACATTTCATTTACCAACTTCTGCCTACTTAAAATGCCAAAATCGTGCATCCACTATCCTCCTTTTTCTCTACTGGGTAAGCATTCAATCTCACAGACGGCCATTAGCTTTCCTTTAATGTTAACTACTGATATGTCTCGCAATAATTTTTCTAACAATTAACTTGAGTATTTGAAAACAGTTTTCTAATTGAATGTGAAATAACAGAAAATAGCGGTATAACCACCAACAAAGGCAAAAAGAAAACTGAGGAATTCACTAGATTCTGGGTTTCTGGGGTCCGACTCAGTTCTGCTCATCTTTTTCCGCATCCTAAAGTTTCTACAAGTGCAACAACATAAAAGTATTACCCGGTAGACACAGCTATGTACTTTGCATGAAACCTCTCTCTACCTTCTATTATTGTGAAGACTCAGTTAGAGCATCCAAACACACAATTTGTAATCTAAAAAAAATGGTCTTGAAAAAGCACTAAAGTGTGTTTGAGAACTCACCGCGCTCATCAGGGAGTCGAGTACACTGACAGCGAAGGCAGTGCCGCAGGCAAAGGGCTGAGTGAGGTACAGCTCCGTGTCTGGGTCGTCATCATCGTCTTGGTCCAGGAACTGAACGTTAGAGTCGTTCACTGAGAGACGGGAGGGGGAGAGTTAGAGACGGGCGCTGTGAAGAGGCATTAGCCAAACACACACCCAGACACTAACACACCTGAGGGTTTATTGAGAGTTACATTTGAAAATATTTGGATATATTGTAGTATATAAGTAATGTAACAAAACCGTCTCAGGTATATTGGTATTGATCAAGGCTGGCAATATAATGTAAGAACAGATGCACATTATATTTTGCTAACAAACCTGTGAACATATTTCTTTATTAAAAGATTAAAACTTACATTTTTCTTTAAAAAAATTGACAGGTTTTTGACCTACAGTATGAACTGATTTACCGATGATCAGTTTACAATTAAACTATATTTTATTTATAATATCTTATTTTTTGTCTAATAGTCTGTTTAAAAATTAACTAAATATGTTATCTATCATTTGTAATTTTTTGTCAACAATTTTTTAATAGTTTTGTTTATGTTCATGGACTATACGTTTGTTTGGATTTTTTTGTGGAATACTTCCAAATATTGAATATTGAATCTATTGTATATCACATGCAGGGTGCATTTTATACATTAAGACAAACCACACATAAAAGAGAAGAGTCTTTTTTTCGCATACACAGTGATAACCATTGTCGAAGTCCGTAATTCTGAATAATTCATACATTTATCCTGCATTAGTACATTAGTAGCCACTGTATCTTGATATATTGTAAACACACCAATTCTCAGTCAAGACACAGTGTCCAGTCGGTGGGTTGAGTAGCCAGCTAACATAAAGGACATTATCTTTTCTCAGAAAAACGTCACAACTATTTCTCGTTGTATCCAGTATATAAAAAAATCGAGACTTCAACAATGGCTAATATGTCACTTGAGAAAATCATGCACTTGTAAATTCATGCTTTTCAGAGTTTTCCTTGATAAATGTGTTTTTTCACATCATCACCTTCAGAAAAAAATCATCTCAAATATTTACCTTTGCCCTGAAATTCAAATTAAAGTCTGGTAACAAAACACACTTCCTATCTCATGACTAATAATAGCCAGGATCTGCTACCAAAGAAACATTTAAAATGAAAATAAACCCAAACCAAAATAACAAAGATATGTTTTGTTTCTCAAGTATGGTGTATATATGGCATAATTGGTGCACTAAAAAACATAGTGTTCCCCAGTGTGCGCCTTTTTTCTTAGATTGTGTTTCTGTCAGCAGTGGGCAGGGTGTATGAACTTGAAAAAAAAAGCATCACACAAGTTTTGTTTGACTCCTCTGTTATCTGAGCTTTAGAGATATGGTCTGGGAGGGAAAAAAGAAACTGGAAAATACATTTAAAAAATAAATAAACAGCCTAAAAGATGGTTTGATCTTGAGTTTGTTGTTTTTGAATCTGATTTCTGCTCAGGCTTCCTGTGCGCTATGGAACAGAAATGTCAGTCAAAGAGACAAGAGGCTGACGCAAACGGGCCTGGGCCAAAGGATTGAAAATGTGTGTGTGTCTGCGTGTGCGTGTGTGTGTGTGTGTGTGTGTGTGTGTGTGTGTGTGTGTGTGTGTGTGTGTGTGTGTGTGTGTGGAGGAAGAAGGGGGGTGAGGGGCAGGGGGGTTGTTGCTATGAAAACAGCCACAAGGACAGACTGAGCATGATCAAAAGCCTAGCTAGGCGCTGCAAAAGCAACTGGAGGAAGACATTTTTTTTTTTTTTTAAAAGGAGGCCAAAACAAGACAGTCAATTTCAACCAGAACGGAGAATAGAAATGTGTTCGAAATGAAGCCATGGGAGCAGCGAGGGCCTTGACTGCAGCCAGATAAATCAAGACAAGCTGATGAGGAGGAGCAGAGCGGCGAAGCGAGAGAACAAACGGCAGCAGAGGACAAAGGCCCGGCTTACCCAGCTCTGTTATCATTTGTATGTTGGTTCCACTGTTTTTTCTCCTGACTGAGTGAAACCAATGGCAGTAGTTTGCCATGTTTAGCTAATGGTGATGAGACAGCGCAGGGAAGGGAAGACATGGTGTCGTTACTGAAACAGTTTCAAAGACTGCAATAAATGCCTTTTGCTGTCTCAGACCACTCGTGTCAACACTGGGATTTACTCCGAGACATTCATGGTTGTCCGGTATCTAAAAGTAAAGCATCCTGGATTAGAGTGCAGTGGATACAAAGCCAGAGCTGTCAGGCCGCTATACCACTACAACGACAATACATTATTTCACGGCAAGACAGTGAAAGGGATAAAGAGGGTCTTATCCATAAACACACCTACATGTACTATACAGTATGCCACGCACACAAAATAGATCATGCAACTCGTGTTTTTATGTTCCAACTACACTTTAATCTGCTCCTGGCGCTGTAGACTGAACATATGACAATGTAATTACAGTACCGTTCCAAAAAGACATGCAACTGCTCCCTCCTTTGCACACAATACTGAAGCTTTCAAGCCCAGGATGGCAACCAATGTCTTCTACATGGATAGCATCTACTTCTGATAAGTACGTATGCGGTCAGCAGTCTAATGGCAAGCGCCTCTCTGCAGGTAATGGCTAGCCCTGTTACAAGTAACATTAGGTAGCTCCTTTCTCTTTCTGGCCTTTTCTTAGCTGGCCTCATGCTCCATTGCTCCCTAATTGGGTCAGGGGAGACAGAGTAGCCAGTCTCTGGTGCTTTAGAAGGCCCCTCAGAGATCTGAAAGTTTCATGAGTCCCCAGCACCAGTGGGAATACAGCCACTGCCATTGTTATTAATAAATGGACCCATTTTGCAACCAAGGCAGTTTTGTTTTTACCCTCCACCTTTTCACTCTCTTTCCCTTTTACCATCTCTTGTGCATTAGTGGACAAATGGCAGGAGATGTAACTTTAATCCTTAAAATGCCTGTGTGACATCCTCAAGTTACAGCTGTCCACAGTGTCCTCAGAGGACAGATATCATACAGGCCTTGCAGCTAACATTATCACCACTTGACAAAAAGCTAGCCAGATCAAATGATTCACAAAATGAACTTGATTTGGGCAAAGCTACCAGCACCATGAGAGTGAACCAGCACCATGAGAGTGAACAAATTCCACACCACACATTCCTCAAGCCCATTTGACCTTGAATGAGTTGGAACTTTTGGAAGCAGCGTGACCAGTCTTGTATAATCAGCTTTATGTGTCTGCCAGTGAATTGGGAGTTGATCTGAGGTTATTGGGTATGGCATGCAATGTTTGCATTTGAGATGTGTGTTCATAAACGGCTTTACCTAGTTCTGTGATGATGGGGATGTTGGCTCCGGTGGTGACGGAAGCCTGACGCACAAAGCCATGTACTGGACTGCTGTCTGGAGATGACCGGTCCATTCCAGGAGGCGTGAAACCTGAAAAATACACATAGATTTATAGAATTTAGCAAATATATAACGGGACGGCAGTAAGAGAGATACAAGGTTTGTAGTAACTTCTTAAATCTTCTTATATACCAACATGGAATTACTACATTGCCACTGAAACCCACACGATACCTTTCACTATGCCTTCAGAGAATGTGGAAAGGAAATACAACCTACCCACCAAAAAGGTAATTTCTAAAAAAAACAATCAAATTACTTTGATAGGATTTAATGAATCTCTGTTTCTCGTCGTAATATTAATATTTATGTCAAAATCAATAAGCAATACATTTACAATTTATTATAAATAAATCCAATTGAGTCCAAATCTGGGATGGCAGTTACTGATGTGCAAAGTTAGTTGCTTTATCATGAGTTAAGCTGTTTTTGCTCTCTATTATAATTGGATTTAGCTACTACCTCATGTAATTCTTTGGGTTACATTTAGTAACTGAATTACAAAAGATGTCAGTTCATCAAAATGGATATTTCTCAATAGAACAACTGGGGGAAAATCAAGCAAGTCTCATGAGCTAGCTTGATATAGCTCTCTTGTTGTTTTGTTGATAGCCTTTGGCAAATCGGAAGTGAAATTATGCAGTTTATGGCAGAATAATAGATGAAACACTTGACAACATGTAATATTCTGGTCAGCAGGCAGTATGGTCTGTTGCATTCTTTTTAGATTTAAAAAAAGAACAATCCAAGCAAAAACAAGTCTGATAAGTGTTTTACTGAAGAAGTATCATAAACAAGAGGATGTGACCTGGAACTCTGTATCAGTACCATTATCCATAGTGCATGTCAGCTCAGTCAGCATAAGGTAGTTGATGTGTGTTTTCTGTGTCATTCAATTGTGCGAATTGACAGAAAAAAGGAAGGATGGGAAGGCTAAGTAAACAAGGCACCTGCCTAAAAGTTGCAATACGGATACTGTGCTTTTAGGGGTCAGCTAAGACATATTTAGCATTCACATCCTTCCATCAACGGGGAAACATAAATTTTAGATGTTGTTCATTTTGTTACAATAAAATTGGTGAAGTGGATCCTGAAAACCTTTTATCGGAAATGGTGTGGCAGGGACCATGAAATACAAATGCAAGTGACAGGAGTATGAATTCACATGACTTCACATTTTTGCATTTCCTCAAAGTGACAAGTAAACACCTTAAATCTGTAATGCTATATGCATAATGCATCAACTGTGTTTTGACATCCATCATTTAGTGCTGACTACAGCAAAATGCCAGTTTATAGTGCCACCACCAAGGAAAGATAATGCAGGGAATATATTCAGGTCACAAAGTTTTAAAAGGGTTGCAAATTTGCTATGCATGTGAGTGTGTGTGTGTGTGCCTTTCCTGTCAAGAAGCTCAATGAGCTGCTTACATTACAAAAGAGATCTTCCCGCCCTTTGCAACAGAAACGACACCAAATAGTTTAGTACACAGTAGGAAGCACACACTGTACTGAAGCATAGATAATCATAGCTCTTGTTATACCAATTATTGAACTTGGAAAAAGCAGAGGTTTGACACTTTGAGTCAACCAGGGAGCACAAGCTAAGACAGTGTGAAAAATCATTTTGTCGATGTCCATAAAGGATGATGTTTACTCCACTGGAGAGTGACAGCAAGTTTTTGGGATACGGTCTTTTAAACACTGCTCTTATTGTATCATAGTGAACATGCAGACAGCACGGAACTGTAGGAGAACAGCTTCTGTTTTGCACAGTTTGCAAAGTGACTGTTGGTGAGAACAGCAATACACGAGGCCTGCTGCTGAGCTGCTTTCAAAACCTGTTAGCTTACAAACAGCTCAGAAGTTGTGATGTGAACTGGTGAGCTCCAAACAGAGAGCTGTATGTCTTCCTCAGATGGAGTCAGAGTACTGCAAAAATGTGCTAAAGCTAAAATGTGTCTATTTGCCTAATCATAGTTGTCCTCTAAATCAGAATTAATTCAAAAATGTATGTCTCTTTATGCAATTAAACAAGAAGGCAAAAAGAGTTACAATTGATCAATATACATTAAACTTATTTTCTATAGTAATTGGCTGTTTTAGTCATCCTGTACTTTATAAAATATAATTATCTTATTGAGAAATTACAATTTAGAAGCCAGAGTTTGAACAGTAGCCGGATCACACACTATGTCTCCTCTACTGGCAGGATGTTGCTACTGTGAGGCTGTAACCTTGTTTGTTCCGCTAAAATATACAATAGACAAGTGAGATCTGGGTTACATACCCCCTTACCCCTGTAGCCCCCCGGGCACAGCTATGCTTTGCGGTTGACTACATGCTACAGCAGCCGTGAGAAGCTCTCCCCCAGGAAAGTGCATGTTTACTTATTCATTTGCACCTTCTTTTTTTAAATTCCACAGACAGTGTCTGAATGGGAGCATCGCTAGAAGGAAGGAATCCCCAAAGCAATACCTATGATACAATACTGGTGTCTGGATATGTGCGTCCTTGTGTATGCATGATTGCATTTCAGTGTGGTGTGTGTGTATGTGTTTTCTAAAGTGAAGTATTTATCACTGAAATGGGTGGTTGATGTAAGACCCAATTATTGATGACAATAGGCTCCATCCATCGACCCTGGGAGAGGATATAGGCTAGTGTGCTTCCATATTGAGGGTGGCTCTCGGTGAATACTGCTCCCCTGAGCGGCATGCTCTAAGATTTACCCCTGATTATTGTTCCTCGGTGGCACTGCTATCGACAGCACATCACTCACTCAAGGCTGGAGAAATAACAGCATTGGCATTCTCCTAAAACATGTGGAAGTGCTCAGCACTAAAAAATAATGGCCTCTTGGACCTTCAACTTTGATTTGTATTTACAACACTCTCTGCCGTGGCACTAAATAGCATCGAGCTCAAGGGATGTCATGCCTTTCGGGCTAATCATAAACTGAGGATTACCTGTTTGTAGGTAACGATTTTGTTGGCATCTATGTGTGTATGATACGTGCGCAGAAACACGTGCACACGATTTGAAACTCGACTATGTGTGCACGCTTGTAACGCTGTTTTGTTGTGACTAATGAGGAGCAGCTGAATTGGCCTGCCTGGTGATTTGTACTAGCTGCTTAATGATGATGAGGCCTGATGGGATGCCAGGTTCGTGTGTTTGTCTGCAAACATCAACAATCTGTTCCAGACGATCTGCCAGACACCAGATCAGGGGGAACAACATCAAATGACACAGTCATGTTGATTACATCATTAAAAAAAAGTATTATCAAGGAGTTTTAGCAGCATGTTATTACCAGGAACAAGACTGAAATCATCCGAAAACGATGTGTAGTAAACGCTCTTCAAATGTTCGATGAGGCAATCAACTAAATGTTTAGTGTGTGCACTTCTTCAGGAGTACAGTAAAGTCAGTTCATAGCTGCCACTTACCACAAACTTGAACAGTATTTCAATGAGCGGCACTTGGCAGACTGTGCTTGACAAACTACATCTATTCCCCCTGTGTGGCCTTCTCATCCCCTCCCAATTTCTTTCCTCTCCTTTTACCCCCCATCTTTGACAACTGCCTTTCCCCCCTGCCATAACCTGTCCCCTTTGGGCTGTAGTGCAGATGTAGTGTAATAAGACGCTCCTTACCTTGGGAATTAGCCTGTAAGACCCCAATGCTGTCATCAAACTGCATAGATTTGATGTTGAGTGATGCCAAGATGCATTCCTTATCCTGCAGTGAGGCATCTTCGATATTGTTCTGATTGGCTGACAGTATTACGCACATGTCGCAGAGGTTGATGTTGACAGCCCTTAAATCTGCCCGACTTAATGGCGTACCCTTCAGGGTGAGGAGAACAGAGAGAAAGAGCAACAAAGAGAGAGAGAGAGAGAGAGAGAGAGAACAGCCAGACAGAGGGGAGAGAAAAACAAATTTAAGGAGTGAGCGGAGTGGAGCTTTGGGAAATTAGTTAACAAGTATTCTTGTTTTGAGGCGATGACATTCCACTGATCTAACTGGGCATTGGAGAATCAGAGACACGGACTAATCTAAAGGCTAGCCTGTGCTGAGGGCTGTGTTTGGGATTCTCCTCTGATCATCAGTCAAGCCAGGCCTAACAAGCTCTCAGGCAGCAAGCCACGCCATCTGTGATGGGCACTGCAACACACATAAACTTCATTTTGGATGTGGAGGATGTGTCACTGCTCTGGATGATGGGGACTTACTACGCTCTCATTGAGTGATCATTCAATTGAGTAATGTGTGATCAAATCAAACTGACAATCCCTCTCAGGATTTCAATGTGCATGCAACTCAAAATGTCAGTGCGTTGTTAGTTGAACAGAAATTCTGGTTTAAATGTATCTTGCGTGGCAGTACGGTATACTCACAGGTAAGATGGAGACCTTAGGGAAGTTGTGTAAAGTCTCCCACTCTCTTCGCAGGTATTCCAGCGAGCCCACAAAAACTATTGGCTTTAGTTCGTGGTAATGGAAGTTACTGGCTCTTAAAGGCATCACCAAGTTTCGCAGCCCCACCAAAGCGGACGTGACATCCCCAAATATACAGACCACCACATGGCCGCTCAGTACTGTCATGGAGGCTTCACTCCGGGTCTGCAGGGAACAGGGGAGGGATAGGGAGAGAAGAGCAGAGAAAGAGGAGGATGAGAAGGAGTGCAGAGATAGAAGAGAGGAAGACACACAGAGACAAACACAGAATTACAGAGAAAAAGAACGGATTATGTGCATGAAGTGACACATTCTAGTTTTAACTATGTTTAAAAGTCTGTTATAAACTGTTATAAACCAATATAAAATAGTTTGTTAACCAAGTATTCAGCTGAATTATGTATCCACAATAAAAAACATTCTATCAACAAGCCTTACTATTAACACATAAACAAAGTTTGGTTAACCACTATTCTGTTTATAAGCAGTTTATTGAATAAGATATAGGAAGTTTACACATCAAAAACAGAACATGTGGTATTTTTTCAAAGGGCAGAAAAATGCAGTTTGTAAGATTTTAGGCACAAACAGTATGTATGAGTGGGACCCTTTCATAAATCAGCGAGGTATAAATAAACAAAGCTTCTCTATGGTATGACGAAAAGAACAATGTGATGCCCTGCTTTCAAGATCTGTCGCCTGTCGCAGCAGCTTGATGTGCATTTGATTGCAAGTTTGAGTGTACGCTGAGTAAACTAAACGCTACTATGATCCCAGTGTATTTGAAACTAAAACTGTATCTTTGTTCACTGGAGACATATAGAAAAAACAAGGGACCACTATTTTAAGTTTTCCCAAACTGTCAGTTAGAGATCTGATGCATTAAACATTTTGTTCTGCATTAAACATTTTGTTCTGCATTATTTATTGGTTTTAAAAAAAAAATGGATGACCCAACTGATCCTTACCCCCCTTTAACTACTGTAATTAAATCAACAAATATGCCCTAATGTAAACTATATAGCTTACTGTGTTTTAAGGTTTTGATTTCATTTGAACAGTGTTTACCTCGTCCAAACAAATTGTGCACTAACATAAATGCTTACAAACTGCCTTGTTGAAACATCCGAGCAAACCCATGCGTGGAGTATTGAAATGCTGTTCACAGATCCTTGGTTGATATATAAAAAACAATAAACTCACCTTGAAACAACAGAGAGGCGGTGAGAAAAATGTCAATATACATTAGTATGCGATTGTTTGGCTACATTATCGAGGGGAAACGTTGGTTCCTGAGCATACTTACTTTAACTTTTTTTACCGCATATTCTATAATATTTTCGGGGGTATGCAGTTACAAGGTTTTTGCCTCACTCACCAGGATGACTTTTTCGATCTCCTTTGACGGGCACCAGTGAAACATCCCTGTCGAGTCATACCTCTTCACGTTCATGTCCATGCTCTCGATTTGTTCATTTCCAGGAATAAGAAGGGGGTCGTGTCGACTGAGAAAACAGTACAGTATTTATTTATGTTAGACCATTTTGTGAATTGACCTTGTGGAGAAGGGAGCTGTAACATAAAAAAGGCAAAAGACCACCAGGGTTTCTTGAGATGTTCACAGTCTATTCATACAACGTATCAAAAGTCCATCACATTCTCAGAGTGTTGGACTTTCTACTGCACTACATACTGTATGTCCCATAACTACCATATCATTCATTCATTCCTTCTTGTCCTTCTTGTCAAGTCATCAGAAAAACTCAAAGACCCTGGTGCTTGCAGCGGTGCAGAGAACAGCAAGACTTGAGTGCTACTGACTGAATGGCATGACAACACAAGGCCAATTACCAGCTTTTACCCTCTCTCCCAGCTCCTGACTCCACGCGGTGCAAATAGTAAAAGCTCCAACAGGCTCACACTTTAAATATTTCAGGAATTTGCCCAATCACATTTAGCTTTCCCAGCTGATGGCCATTAATGTTTCAGCAGCATGTCACAACCAAACAGGCTAATCCACAGCACTGGGCTGCTGAGTTTTATCCGGTGCAACACTGACCATGAAAGGGCTCCTGTCACTCAGTCCTGTTAGACCGCCTCTCTTGTTCTTGCATTTATCCTACAAGATGGGTTCTCACAGTCTTTCAGGCAATCCATAACATTTCATCCAAAACACTGAGTCAGGATAAACTGAAGAAATGTAGCGTTGTTCAAGAATAAATGCTTGTTTTACAGCAATGCAAATGTAATTTATTTACAATTCAACCAAAATAATAGAACCCTAGGTAAAAACAGCAAAAGCAGGGAAGTGCAGAGAGACAGACATTTCAGTAATGTGGGAGAGAATATCTCAAGAGTTTGACATCTCTCTCAGTTTTATTCTCTCTTTCCTCTATCAACACTGTCATTCACTGACAACGCTTTGATGTTGCCTATTCCTTCAGCCAGCATTTGGGTTGCATACCAATGCAGTAAAAGTAAGAGTTAAAAAAAAAAAGCTGTCAATTAGCCACCTTCTCTCTCCACCTCTCTCCCCTCTATCAGTTAGTGCAGGTGATAATAACACTGACAGCATTTAGTGTTTTTACACTCAGCCTGAATCTTTCATCCAGAGCCGCGTGTTGCGCCAATCAACTCCACAGAGCCCCCGTCACTTCAATCTGCTCAGCTCTGCTCGCCTCCACACAGGGGCTGACTGGCGCATGCAGGCGGGCTGCCGCTCCAGCTCTCTCTGCCAAGACAGCTATCTTTCACAGAGCTGTCAGCGGTGTGACTGGCAGGCTGTCACGGGCTCCACACACCTCCTTCTGCCTCTGCCTTCTCCCTGCCTCAGGATGAACCCAGCACAAGACTCGGGGAGAGCAGACATGACGTGTGTGCCACAGTGCCACGCCCAAGGGATATCAGCTGCAGATAATACTGTGACATCTTCTGCGATTGGATGCCTGACCCGTCAAAAAGGTTTGTGAGAATGGTGTTAATGCCATGGTGTCACTGCAGCTTGTTAGCACGGTGACACGTGACATTGGCAACTTGACAATTAAGGCATGTTGAGGATAAGCCAGCTAGGACGCAACGTGTCATTACCCTATACAAATATTCATTTCTAAATACATTTTTCTTTCGCCACCGGGAGGTTTACACCCCATAAAACATTCTCTACATTTCAAAATTGTATAAATTCAAAGTTAGGATTGCAAAGTAAACATATTTCCTTGGTGAGAAACAATATTTTATCTGATGCACTTTTATATAGGACAAATATTTCCCTTACAGCATGTCTCACCCTCTTCCTTCCTTTCTTTCTACCTCCCTCCCTGCCTTCCTCACTATATATTTCAAACAGAGTTGAGTTATTCCAGTGTATCACTCTGCAGTCACAAACTGGGGATGGGCGTGCTCCCCCAATCCCTCTCTGCCAGACTACGAAGGCAGCCTCTTGCTTTGAAAATTTCCCCCATCATGCAAACTGACAAAGGCATGCTTTTCAAAAGCCCACAGCCAATCTGTTGATCATTATTTATTTACAAAGGCCTTCAGGCTGCAAGTCCTGTAAAAACCATACTTGATACGTATGCTCACTCTCTCGCAAGCTCTCTACTGTGTTTTCCCCCTCCTTGCTTGTAGAATAAAGTATCCCTAAGGCTACCTCAAACAATCACTTTTCATTGTGCATAAAATTCACCTTGTAAAGCGCAACTGTTTAATATATATGGTGTTATACGTTGACGGGGGCAGCTGTGAAGGGGGGCTGAGGACTGTGATGGGTAATTTGATGTTTTGCTGAGGGCTAAGACAAGGAAAAAAATCTACACCTATAACAGAGGACCTGTCATCCCAGTACCCAAGAGCCAGCAGAATACAGAAGCACCCCTAAAGCTGAGAAAACTTTGACACCGCTTTGAAGCGTTTTCAAAACTGAGTAAATAACTCGCAAGAATTATTATCACTGCGAGATCAAAGCAAAGATGCATATATTACATGGCAAACAGGGACCATCTCCTAAGCAAAAAAAGGAAGAGAAGAAAGGGTTTTGTGCTTTAAGTTAGGCAAACTAAACAGCCTTTTAAACAAGCAGTTAGCTGGAAATGTGCCAATGTCTAGCAGTTCTACAAAGAAAGCATTCTCCCTCTGAGCAAGGGCAACTAAAAAGCTTCTCTGTTGCAAACTAGACTGAAGGGTATGACTCTGTGTTGGGCTAATGATTCGGCAAATGTGAAGGCTTATTAAGTGCTTGTTTTGTGGAGAACTGAGGGGGAGGCCGACAAAATACTGGACGACATCACATAGGCATGCCAACGCACACGGATAACTCTGCCTAAGGGAAGCAAGCAGGACCAACATACAAAGAACTCGACTAAACTATAAGGAAAATACACCACAGTAAAATAATAACCAAAAGCAAAACGGATTTGAAGAGTTAATAGATAGAAATGAAGTCTATTTTAAGTGATATTTGAATTAGCAGATATTCAAATATGTTGGTTTTTTGTAGTTTTTCAAGATGCAAAATCCATTAGGATTTATTTTGTACCCACACAATTCAGATACAGGAGTTTCTAATACAATGTAGCTTACACTGACAAAAACCACGCAGCTTTCTCTTTAAATTACAGTAAATTCGTAGAGATGACAACCCAAACACTTTCCCTAATTAAGAGTAGGGCAGCGTAGCTATGAGTGTTCGTGTCCTCTTAGATCTTCTCCACCATGCCTTCATCCTGCCTTCCCAATGCGCACAGCTCGGCCTCCCTGTATTCTCCACGATGCCGTGTTGCTAACCCCGCCTCGCAGCCGGGGGAGCACAAAAACCTACCCCTTTTATCTTTCAAAATCAATTAACAGCAATTTAATTCCACAGGACAGGATAAAAGGAAGGTAATATTTGAATTCATATTTGATTGTGATGATACATCGCACATATGGCCTTAAGTACCAGAAACAGTACTCACAGGGGTTCCCACAATAGAGGAGTAGCCTGAGGGCAAAGTAACCATGCAGGTCCCTCTGATTGGTTGCTGGTGTCATTAGTGCCAGCATTGTTTAAGGAGCACATGTGGACCAGACCGGAGGTGGTGACAGCTGGGACTTTAAAGCCAGAGGAGTTTTCAAACGGCTCCTCACAGATGCTTTTCATGACAGAAATATTATTTCAGCTCTGTCATTAACAGCTGACAGCATGCCATCCTAAACAGCCAGTGCCAAACAGGGCACTTCTCCGCTCTCTTTCTCTCACAGAGTTTCTTACCTCCTTCTTCTGCCACCCCTAATTTGCCCCCTCCCATCCATCCAAACTCCCACCATCTCACCATCCGCCTCTGAAGTATCTCTCACACGCATCCCTCCATCCTTTCCTCCCGTCCTCCCTCCCCTATTCCCTGATTCTGACTTCCTCTCACTCCTCATTTGAAGTGCTGGAAGGAGAATAAAATCAGCTTCTCTTACCTCATCATTTTGGGCGAGTTGTTGGGTGAGTTTCGCATCCCTCCATTGCGCTGCTTTTTTTTGGGCGAGAGAGTTGACGGATGCTCGTCTTCGACTGCAAACACATGCACAGAATGTCAGAATAGAGACAGATGGAAGTGTGCTGGACCTGACATGAAAAAAAATAGCCAACACTCAATCAATCATTGCAAACAAAAAAAATCAACAGAAGAAAAAGGAAATTAATAATTCAGTGTCAAATTGAGAAAATATAGAGAAAGCATTAGTAACGGACAATGGTAAATCTGAGAAAGGCAGGAGAAAACCACGGAGAAAGAACCAATTTACGAACTGAAAATGTCACGGAAGGCTCACATCCCAAACCCCCCTAGATTTTGGCTCTTCTACGGTCTACTTTAACAGGGCTTTCAGAAATACACTACTGCATGTTTTCAGAAGACTTGCTACATTTTGCAAATGGTTGGACCTCTAGCAGTCTGCATCAGAGTGACCATGCTTACCTACGCCATTATTTGCCATGTGATGGTACAGACTGTCATTGTCAGTGGGGTGCGGGCAAAAGCAATGACAATGAGATAAAGGTTATGAAGATGAATTTTGAGAGGATAGTTTTTTGTTTGGTTTTTAACAAAACTATCTATACCGCACCCTGTCATTCCAGTTCTAACTAAAGCGCACAATGGCTCTTCTACAGGTCTACCTCCATGCCAAGGGAACACTAAGCACTCAACACACATCACTAAGGACAGGGCACAAATTAGTGAATTATTAAAGCAGCTAAGACAAACACATCATCATCATCCACTAGAAGACAGCCAGGTCTAAGTTCAAATGAAAAAGTAACTATTTATATTAGATGAACCATTTGGTGTTTGACGCTTTGGTGTTAAGGATTTGCAAGACGCTGATCAATAGCCACAATGTTTTTTAAGGATTATTTTTATCAGATTCAACTTCACCTTCTTGCCAAATATGCTTTTCTGTGCAAAAAACATTCTATTTTTCATACTTTGCTCAACTCGCAGACAGACAGAGAGGACGAGAAAGAGCAGCCAGATTGAGGCCAGGCCCAGGCGTCTGAAGTTTTCAGGCAAACTAACAGCAGTCTGATCTTCACTACTGTCTGTGAGTTTCAAGAGCTTTTAGACAAGCACCGAGAAACTCTTATCCACTGTGCACTCTCCCAGCGCAAATGCCAAGTGCACCGTCACTTCAAACCCATATTAGTCTTTTGGTTAGAAATCAATAACACAGCATGATATTAGAGCGAATCAATGTGCAAGCCGTGACTATTCCAAGCATGTGGAAATTCATTATTGTCTGAGCCCCCGTCCAAGGCTGTCACCTAATTCTGCTAATAAAAGATAAGAAATATGACTTTGCCTTCTAATAAAATGTCATTCTCTGACATTTCCTTTATGCAATTGGGCATTTGGAGTAGCTAATAGAACAAGTAATTTCCACTTAACACATAATTCTCTCTCTTATGTACTCCAAAAAATATCCCATTAGAAACAATACATTCCTCTCCATATTATTAGGCAAACACCTTCCTGGTTTAAACTTAAAATGTTTGTAAAATCACTTATCATTCCACAACAATTCAATGAAATGCTTTGCAGCCTTTGGGTAATACAATTTTTTACAGTAATGAATAAACCGTAAGCTCAGTATCCTCAGAGTTCAGAAGTGCCGCAGCATTTCTGAAGATAGAAACTAATAAGCAACTATTTTTAGTTTATTCTGAATATTCTAAGTTCACATAATTTAGCACTCCTCAGTTTGGAAGTCACCTTATGTAGACAGTAACAGCCACTAGCAGGCAAATCTGTGTAAAGCAGCACGAGCAGCAGAGTGAACCGTCATGCAGCAAACAAGACAATATGAAGGGACAGAGCAGGCGGTGTTACTGACTGATGCATCCCGCTAAGGGGGCAACCTATAGAGTTCCTACTGTGACTGAGCAGCATGGCATTACTGGGGTGGTAGCGGTATTTCACCGGCAGACTGCGGGCCCGGTTCAGACGACTCTCAGCCAGGGTTCTGGCCGCCACGTCTCCTGGACCTGAGACACTGAGGCGCAGTAGCGAGGGGTCAGCCCTAGCCCCCGGCCCCAGGGGGAGCAGGCTTCCTTTACGGTTATTAACAAGGGGGATGTTGGGTTTGCCCGGGTTGAACAGGGGCTCCTTGTTGGGGTGCAAGTTGTTGGAAAGGAATGCATTTGAGGTGATGGAGGTGGAGTTGCAGCCGGTGGTTTTAACAGATCGCTTTGGAAAAGAAGGTCTACCTTCATCCATTACTGTTAAAACAATGGAGAATAGAAAGTGTGAGAAAGCCTGTTTTAATTTCATTAATTTGTTAGTATTTAAATTATAGTGTTTAACTGTGGAAAACACTAGCTTTATTTGTTGCTATATTTGTTGTATAGATTTTTGGTTTAAAGGAAAATCTCCTTAAGCAAATGGAATTAATTTATGTTATTTGAAATACAAGAGTGATTAGTATTTTAAAAATCTCCATAAGAATCAAACACACACATTTAATTGTATTTTTAAATAAGTGACTTCTGAAAGTCAAAAAATCCTGCCATAAAAGCAGGAATCATTTATCATTTATTTTCTGAAATGTTAACATCTCCAATCTACTTGGCACACGCCCTGACTGAAATGTTCACAGTGACATTTACTTTGCATTAGTGACAAACATGAATTAATAAAAAGTCTCTCCGTTTGTATTTCTTACTTGTGCTACAATTTGTGGTAGAACAAAGCAGAGACACGGCTTGGCTTAAGCCAGTCAAATCCAATCAGACATTGTGTCATTTCAAGCATAATGTGTACCACAGTACTTTCACTTCAACAATATAAAGCTACAACTAATAATTTATAATATTACTAATTCAAAAACCTTGTATCATTAAGAATTCATTTTGGATTGTGCATAGAAATGAGGTTTGAGTCCAGACCAAAAATGCATCTTTTCTCAAACATGCTGAATTTAACTGTAACTTAGCAGTATAACCAGTATGTCCGGTGACAACCTGCTGTGTCCAATATGAGAATACTTTCTACTGCATGTAGAAGCCTGATGTTCACCCAGCAGTCATACCAAACAAACACACACAGACACATACACACATTGTGACTGAGGCTGCAGAGTCAAACCGTATGCTTGCATGTATTGAAGTGGTTGTTAAGTTGAATGGGAAAGGAGGAGCCCTGTTCTCCCTTTGGTGGAAGGGTGGTTGGTTGGTTGTTTGGAGGAGAGAGCATGCTTGGGTGGCCCCGGGCGATAAACAGACGTTTATCCCAGCCGTCAGCTGCCTCCTTGATTTACGGGGCGCCACCGATAGCTCCTGGATTCATCTGGCCCTTGTCAAACACGTGTAGCGTTAGAGAGCGCTCACCCGCCCTGGCAGGTCCACTGTGCATCCTGAACAACCCAGACGGCAACTGTCCCTTCCTGAAATGCTAATCACATGACGGTACTGTCCACCATGCAAGCTTTATCAGATCGCCATGACCCAATGTAAACTGGATGATGAGGCAGAGGAATAAGAACTACAAATGTTTACTTTTGTATGTGAGCGAATCTGGCTTTGCCTTTACGGGGTTTGCTGCATGAGCGAGCTTTGTTCTTTATCTGCATTGTAACTGCATGAAAAAGCTTTTATGCCATGCATTGCTGTTTCTAAAGATCAAACTTAAACTGATATACGACAGCTGCAATTATTTTTGATTCTGCTTAGAGGTAGCCACTATTTCAAAGAGGAAAAAAGAAATCAGTATACTTTAAAAGAACAAATACATTGAATAAAACATGGGAAATGTTGCTTTTGGGGTGACAAAAGCATAGCAAAGCTAAATGTACTTTTAACCAGTAGGGTAAAAAAGTAATGCATTTAACAATAATTTAAGATTTACCTAAATTGCAATCAGCTTTGAATCGAACGCCAGCCTCTTTTTGACTTCCACTGTTCCCTGGTGTTGTAGCGCCATCTGCTGCTACATGCAGCACAATACAAAAAGAGTATTTTATGGAACTACATGGTATTATCAAACACAAAATAATTTATTTTCAGTTGCTATCAATAACAGGAACTTATTAATTAAATTATTAATTTACGGTCAACATATATTGAAATTATTTAAGTTATAATAAACAATATGTCTGAGTCAAACATTGTATTTAACACTTATTAAACGGTACGTTTACTTTGTCTCTGTACAAGACAACATCAGTTTATTCTAAAGGAACAAGGGAGAACAAGGCAAATACTAAAGCAAAGCATCAGTATTATTTATGTTACATGACATTGTGAGGGGTCTACAGTCTAAACACAGAGCTGGAGCAGAATGGAGAAGGACAGAGAAACACACTTACGTGATCTGACATATCCATTATACTTATATTTGGCTGAGGAGAATGCAAAGACAAGTGGCAGGTCACACAGGGGGATAAATGATGTAATGAAACAGGCACATTAGGAAATAGAGACATGGAAATAAAATCAAATGTAACTATGATGAAGTAGAGTTTTAGTGAAGAGGATGAACCAGATATTAAAAAGGTACAAATAATGGAGATTTTGTAAAAACCTTATGGTGGTACCGATTAAAGAACGGCATGACGGTGCAGACGGCTGACTGAAATGAACTATCCATTCTCAGAGTGAGCCATGCTTTTAGGAAAGTGTACTTGACCTCGAATGAAATGTAATGGCAGACTAATGGTTGTTTAAAAAAAATCAAAAAACTATTTTGATGGTTAACAGTTTCAATGGTAGATTCAACAACATAATGTTTTTCTCATTTAATACTTTGAAGTATTACATATTGATTTAATTGTGATGGACATTGTGATGTCTGTAAATAGAACAAATAAAGCCACCATGGGGAACAAAGACATCAACTTCACATATGAGGGCATGTAGACGTCCGAAACACAGACAGCAGACACTCCCTAGTCAAAACAGCTGCGCTTACAGAGCACCAATGCAAAGAGACTTGATCTTCACGTGCAGTAAACACCTCTTGCACAAATTGACTTCTTTTTTTTTTTAAAGGACGATGCCAAAGATGGGTACAATGCTACACTTTCAAATCTCCTGGGTAATTCTTTGAACATGCTTGACCAAGGTTTCCACTTATACCAGAACTATTAATCTGGGAATTAGAGTGTATGACCTTGACTGAGGAGGCACTGAAGACTGCTACCAATAGAAGTACTGGTACAGCGGGCACTTGAACTGAGCTCTGAGCTGCTGACACTCCCCTCTCTTTCCCAGAGTCTCTTCCAGCAGTAAAGGTCACAGCGAGGGCCTAGGGCTGGCCTATGACACAGATCCTCAAACAGGGACCCACAGTGGCCCTGGCATCTGTCTCTAGCAATCTGCCCGCACCGCAGAGGCGGCAGACTAACTGGCTAGCATCTGGGGCGTAGCGCGGCGGCATAGGACAGAGGGTAAGGGGGGGGACCAAGCCTGCCTGGTGGACAGGAGCTGTCAGGGCAGGTTTGGTGATGGACCAGCAGGGCTGGGAAAATGAAAATACAAACATAATTTCTGTGTCAGGATAGATAAGGTCCCCAGCAATGAGATAAAAGTGCATGTGGCTACACACACAGATGCACACGTGCACGCGCACAGAGCCCAGAAGGCCGAGGAATAGCCAAAAGCATCTCCTGAGTCCCAAACCCTTGTCCATAGCCCAGCTTTAGCCTCTCAATTGTATAAACCTGTCACATATCTACTTGCCAACTGCGATGATGGAGTGACAAAAGAAGATATGCAAGTAGGAAACACCACCAAAATAAACAGCTATTTCAGCCGGAACGACTCTGACGTAGAAGGCAAGAACCAGTATTCACAACCATACAAGGGGGAATTCTACTTCCTATTCTGCTGTACCTAAATACACAATTTGTGCTTTGAATGTTATGTTTAACTATTCACAAGGGGTAAAAATAGCTCAGCTTCTGTCAAATGTTTCACACACAGTATATTTTTATGCAAAAGATCAACTCATGCATCATCTTATTTGCACTTCAAATAATCTATTCTATGATCAATTAAAGTAATTAAATATATGAAAGATCTATCATAACAGTATTCTGCATTAAACAATTTCGCTTATTTGTTCTACAGTATGTGCACAAAAGGTTTATCTATTTCACTTTTTAGATACTAAAACCCCTTGAATGAGTGCACATAAAAAAGGTTATTAATTTCATCATTAAAGTCCATAAAGCAACACAGAGGTTTATGTTTAAATCACCATAATGAAGGGTTCTGTGTCGCACTGTGTACGTGTGGTCCGAACGTGTGTCAGTACACAGGGTGCATTTAAGTGAAAGACGCCTATTTAAGAAATCAATTATCCAAGCACTAAATCTGGTTCAGATGTACAAGAGTATGGAGTCATCATGGATAAAGACGTCTTATCCTGTCAGTCTGGTGGGGGGGAAAAGAGGTGGGATGGGGATGGGAAACCCACCAATCCCTGACTGACAAAGCCCAATGCACTTCTTACTAAACTCACTTTGTTCAGACAAAGTCAGAGTTAAAAAGGGAAAGAAATCTAAGACGGAGGAGGCATTTCTGAAATCCTACAAGGGGTTGAGGGAGAAGTGAGATCAGTAACCATGTAATGGCCAGTAATTGGTACCGAGGGATATCCGCGCAGGCCGAACTACAAGAGGCCAAGCCAAACTCATCATGGCGTGTTTGACACTAATCTAGGCTGAGTCGGCAGACGGTGAGAGAATGTTGTGGAGGAAATCAGATCTGTACGTCTAAACCGAAGGCTTTGATAGCTAGGCCGACTGCTGCCATGTGTAATTGATGAACAATTTAGTATTTCCTATCCACTCAAAAGGAAAATCGAAAAGGAGGGTGATCTGCCATCATCCTCCTACCTTTTCTTATCAATCAAACTATCACTATTTGTAGCTTCTTTTTGTCTTTTCTTGTTTTACTTATCTATTTATCTTTCCTCTTTCTTACTGTGCGATACAAAACCCCTCTCTCCCCCCATTTTGTTTTTCTTCTCCTTCCTCCTAATTCTCCTTCCTTCTCTCAGTGTATGTGTCTAAGACTGTTTAAGACTGCAGGACAGAGAGATACCTTTCTTAAGACCATTTCAAACAATATGCGAGCAGAGGCTAAGCAGAACATTGTATAGGTAAAATGTTAAACTTGACTATTGTTCCAAAACCTCGGTTGGATGCTACTCAATCCGAAGCTGTTGGTACCTGCTCATGTAGATAGTTATGTAAATTGTAAACCCTGTAATGATGCTGTATGATGTCCTTTTTGTTGTTCGGTTTATGTTTTTATGTTTCATGTGGAACCTACTTGAGCAGGTCTCCCTTGAAAAAGAGATCAATGATCTCAATGGGTTACACCTGGATAAATAAAGGTTTGAAATGAAATGAAATGAAAAACAATGCTGGGTAATTGTTGTGTTTTTGCTGCTCAAGTATTGTTTTAATTTCCTAAAAGAGTAAAACGGCATTTCAGCTGCTTGAGATAGAAGTGTCACCGATAAAAACGTGTTTTAACCTCTGCTCCTCATTTACAATGATCTGCAAGACTGTTAGAAATCTTCCAAAAACTGTTTCATGTGTGATTTTCTCTTATCTTCGTCATTAAGGGGAAACTAAAATCTCTACAAAGTTGTTTCAAAAGGTAAAAGAAAAAAAGGAACAGAAGCAAAGCTGATTAACTGAAAAGTGTAAAAACTGAAAACAAAGTTAACTAAGGTTATTAAGGACTTTCAAAGCAAATATACAAGACAATAATTGAACAGACATTATCATTAAATTGTAGGATGAAACCTTCAGAAATACGTGCCATTATTGAATACACAGATACCTTACCTCCAACAGTTTTAAACACATTAAATCAAATAGTGATATTATCACAGAACTGCATGACTGATGCAGCATGCGGTAGCCATATATCAAAAAACTACAGCACGGTACAGTATAGCAGCACCACAGAGCCACACCACCACTGACCCACCACACATAATACACTCACAAAATAAAAGTGCCAAATGATAATGATGGAAAACATAAACAGAATATGATAAAATGCAACTGTAAATAACTGAACATAGATCGGTAGATAGATAGATAGATAGATAGATAGATAGATAGATAGATAGATAGATAGATAGCATTTGAAAGAAGGACAACAGCTAAGTAAAATCTGTTCATAAACAAAAATGAATACATTCTATGGAGTCACGGTTAACGGATTACACACATAGTAGACGTCACAGACACACAGGTACACGTACAGCACCTCTGCGAGGTACAATACACATGGAGCACACACCACAGACATGTAACAGCATGTGTTGGGCGGTGTAACTTACAGGCACGTAAAGTGGTTGCGCAATCATGAACAGAGACAGAGGAAAGTGGGTAGGCCCTCTGAAGGGTGTCCATGTTACTATGTACACTGCTTGACATGCAAGAGCAGTCTTGCTCTGAACGGCCGCAATCAAAACAACATGCCAGTTTCATTCTTTTGTAGACGGACATCCTGGCTACAGTCATGTTTTGGGATGAGAGGAAAGGAAAAGCAGCAGGTTAATGGCAAAGGGAGAAATATTCATCCAGGGGAAGTCTGAAGGTATCTTCATCAGAAAGTGCAAGCCTTAGCCACGTGCTCTGACAGACTAAAGCCACAAATTTAACTTAAACATTTAAGCGCTCACATTACAACAATTACTTTAATAAAAAAAGTCATCCAATAACATTTTCTTTTGACTGAAAAAATACAATTTGGACACTACAGTATATTTGTAATTAAATGGTCAAAAGCCAGCTCATTATTTCTCGTCATATTGACATAGTCTGTAGAGGTCAAGCTGTGTGCTAAGGCTGTGACAGGTCAAAAGGCAAAACTATAACAGTGGGAAAGAGGGGTGAGGAGAAAGGATAGTGGGCGGGAGGCATTCAGGGAAGAGAGGCATGAGCAATGTCTTCAGCAGAAAAACTCATATAATGTTTCACACATTTGTACATCCTCTATCCATTTGGCTAAAGGAGTGGATCACGTACCTGTATCCCAGCATGCAGCTGTAGCGGCTCTGTCCAAGGCATCGCACTATTCTACTGGCTAGATGGGCCAATTCATGCTACTGTTTATTCAAACCCTTCACTGCTCCACTCCCCAAGGCCAGCTCCACTTTTATGTGTATGAGTAACAAAATAATTTAAAGAGAATAATGATGTTTGTAATTTTGCTGTGATTCTTCATGTAACTTTTGAAAGAGAAAACATCATTCTTAAAAATATTAGTTTATAAGTATTGCACTATATATTTTTAAATTGTGTAAATTCAGTGTTTATAACTTGCAAATAAGTGGGGTAATTATGTCTCTCCTTTTTTTGTACCAAATTGACTATCAATGGAAATTAATAAGGTAAAAATGTGTTTCACTATTGCGTTTCAGAATTGGATAAGTGGTATATTTGTGTTGCTTTGCTGCATATATGTAAAGTGTCTGAAAACCAGCTCCTAGTGTTTTTAGTAAATGTATATTCATAAGGATATACATGAATGCCGCTATGATTGTATTGTTTAAAAAAAAAAAAATGCAAGTAGTGCACTCTTTGGGTATGTGAAAGTAGTATAACACAATAAAAAACGTTTTAACTACTAGCTAACCTGTAGCCAAAAGAATGGCCACTTCCTGTCTTTGTTGTTTGTATACGTGTGTTGCCGTGTGTAAATGTGTGTGTTTGAAGCTCTGAGCCCCGAGGGAAGCAGGAGTGAAAGCCCCCAGAGTAGCACATCTAGATTGCTGTGACTCTGGGCAGAAACAGTCCCTGGTCCTCATTCTCTCATTACCAAGGTGCAAACAGACAGCACACTAATACTGTCTGCTACCTTTACAGAGAAACTTTCAGCATCTTTGACTCGTCTGAGCCATATCGGAAAATAAGATCTCGGATGAAGTAATAGGTTTCAGATTCTGGCCAAGGAGAGAATGGGAAACGCAGAACATAACCCATGGGATGACTGCATCAGGGACTGTTGTATCCTGCGGCATGCACATTTGCCTTATGAGCATGAAATAAGCATGCAGCAAACACAGTTCTGTTCTTAGCAACAAGGGGAGGCAGAGAGAAAACTGTTCACAGTATTGAAACAGTTTGCAGGTATGGCAGAAAAGGTGCAGCGAGGCTATCACTTCATGCTGAAATGTCCTAACTTCAGAGGTTTTGCTTAAGCAGAAAGACCACAGTACAGTAATGTATGTTTACAATGTACAATATTGACACGTGGAAGGGTTGTAATGTTCAACACAAAACACACACATACACACACACATCGACAATGATTTTGACTTCTGACTTCACAAATACCTAGATTCTGGCCTAGAATGATAAGGTGTCCATTTCAGGGCATTCCTAAAGGAAGATTCAACATGACGGCTGCCCTGATAAACTATCTGCATGGGTTTGATCAGTCAACCAACTCCTATTATCCACCAAAGCACAAAATATTAAAACAGAAGCTATCAGGGCAATATGTTGAATACAAAGGATGTCCCAAAGCAAGCACCGTCCTGATATATCCCCATAAAAGCATCTGTATTCAGCAAAAGTGCAAGGATAAATTATATTGTTAAAGTAGCTGAAGAGTAAACATTAGCTTTTTCCTGTGGAGACGAAAAGGGAACAGAAGACAGATGTTTAACTACACTATATCGTATAAACAAAATATTGATGAAGCCATCTCCGGATGACAAAGTTTGAATATATGATGCAAATGCACAGAAATACTTTTGAGTTGATCCTTGCATTTTTGCTGAACAGGTTTCGAGGCGGGTTTAGGTTTCCTCTCTACAGACATCACAATTGAAATATTGTATTATTGGACATGACGCTGGCATGGCACCACCATCTAGTGGCAACCTCACGCTATGACAGTTACTACTGTATTGCTTGTGGACTTCATCCAGTGCAACGAGTTGAATACAATCGTGAAAATATTTTTTTTAAACTGAAGAAACGGCCTAACACCTTTCCACATTTGAAATGCACAACACTGGTGAGGTGACATTTCAATTCTGAGAGGAATTGATGATTTCTGAAACCTCGACAAGAGTAGGGCGAGGACCCAGAGTTTAGAAAGCGGCTGAGATCACAGAGCAGTGGAGGGAGACCAGATTGTTTTGATTGTGTTTTGGCAACCTAGCTCATTAAGATTTGCAGAACTTTGCCACAAGGACATTTTCTGCTCTCTGAAAGCACAGCCACACACAAAACCTCCTTTGACAGAAAGCAGATCAATTGAAACCTCAGTGGTTCTTGTAATTTTTTTTCTTCCCTTGTGTTAGCTCCTCTAAATCTGTGATTACTGTGCGGCATCTCAGATTTTTATTACGTTCCTTCTGTACTTTGTCGGAGCGTGACTCTATAAGGAGGTTAATCAAGGGTAATGACATAAGACTTGCAGCAGATTGGCTTCCAAATGCTAAATAGTGGCATCAGATGACTGGGCCTATGATGAGGAGGCCTGATGCTGGTTTGAGTTTGATTTCAGCTGTTTTGGTTTTGGTCTGGTCTGAGCACAGTGTAGAAATGAGAGAGAAGGAGAGGGATGCAGAAGCTACACTGGTACATGCAACATCGATACAGTATACTTTTTGCTGAAGAGGAAAAAAAAACACTTGCACTGCACGTAAGTAACAGTACAACCATTTTCTTTTTACTCACAATAAATCACTACCAGTGAGTAGGTAAAATAAAGTGGTGTTTTCCAATGGCAGCGGGGAAGGAAATACATCAAAAGTGTGTTACTGGTCATTAAGAAACATGGGGAAAACAACACAAGAGAATACAACATGATAGAACACTGTAAGTTAGACTTCCAAACTCTCCTGTTAGAAACTAATTGGTTAAAACATAATGCCATGTCCATCACCTGGCTCTGAGACATGAACATATTAAGGAAGCAAACAGAAGTAAACAGTTTTAGCTGAATGTAACTGGAGTGTGAAAGACCTGTTGATTCTATTGAGCTTTGAAAGCAAGAGATTGTCTGAATAATTGAAATGACACAGACAAAAGAAGGAAATGGTGGGTATCTATTTTAAAACCAAGCTTTGTCTATGAAAGGCTGCTTACTTTAATTGTCTGTAACCTTTTCTGGAAATATAGGATATTCACCTGAATTATTTATCCGGTGGCTAACATGTCCTGACAAGTGACTGCCGTACATAGGTCAGGTTATATTCATGTTCTGCGCCTGCCTAATGGTAATGTTATGTCTGCATAAATACAGGGGGGGAATATCTATTTGACAGGGACATTTGTGTATTGTGAAGTCTTAAATAAGAACACGGTGACTAAGCTCAATACTCTGAAAAGCTCTTATTAGGAGGGTGTGAAAGTTATAATACAGTGGGTAATTTCCTTAAAAAACATTAAAGGTTGCAGAGAAAAGCTTATTGTCTCATACAAAAAAGCTATGCATGGTATAATGTTCAGTATACAGGCTTATATTAGTAATTAGTAATTATTTATCTATTATCTAATATATCATTCCAATAACTTGTATATAGACTCATAGTGCACTATTCCACTTTCCCACTTTTAAAAAAAAACTATTTTTCTTTTTGTATTACTTTTATTATAGTATATTTTAACATTGTTTTAATATTGTCTGCTTGTCTGTATGTTGGAGAAGCCTGTGACCTAAGATTTTCCACAACATAATTACTCTGTAGCTATGTTAGTTTGACAATAAAGAACCTTAAACCTTGTACTGCATAGGTCATTTTATTTTCTCATGCAGGAGATGGATAAGGGTTCTGTAATGTTTTCTTATTTCTTGTTCTTTCTCTGTCAACTAATACCATTTAAATTATATAATATATAATTTATTAAAATACATTTTCAGCCATTTCAACCAAACACAAAACACTCAAAGATGACAAGAACTGCATTTCACAAGAAAATAAATCAGATATTAAATGATGATCTTACTGTAATGAGTGTAATGGAAGTTCAAAATAGGACCCATAGAAATAAACACTTTCCTAAGGGTGTAATGGTTTGACAACATAAAAACACAGTGCCACAGTACAGAAGAAACAACAACAACATGAGAGGTATATTATTAGTGTTCAGACTGTTAAAACCTAAGCATAATGACACAGACAGACCCACTGGGAGGTTTTGGAGTGAGAGGAAAGGAAAGAGGGCAGTCAAAAGGACAAAATAAAGGCACAGCTACTCACGTCGTTTGCAACCACACTTCTTTATCCGCTTAGGGTCTGTGATGTCGTCATGACAAGCTTTGCAGTAGAAAAATGCCCTAAAAGTGACACAGTATAAATGTTCACCACTTAGAATAATCAACATGTCCTTTTTACATTATAAATGATCAGCTTTAATCCAAATTACCTCTTCACTTCTTTGGCATCACTGGCAATAAAGAACCCAAGAGTTCCCTCCTGCATCTTCACATTGTTTCCCGGGTTAATGAGGATGCTGGGTAATCAGAGAAAAAGACACATCATGCTCATTAACTTCTGGAAAACACGCAACTCATGCACACAACATGCTAATCAAGAGGAATGGTACACAGCCTTTGTTGAAGCCGCTAATCGGACCTGCTTTTTCCTTTTTTCATTCTCAACACATGGTTTACTTTTCATAATTTATTTGGTGATACCATTAAAACACATCTCTGATTTTGGGCAATTTGATGATGTGATACTCACACAGATAGACAGAATGTACAACAGTATGATCGCACATTGAATTTTAATTATTTTCTTTACTGAATTATTTTTAAATGCCCAGGTGTAAGAAGGGGAGACAGAGAGATACGAGTAAAGGGACAAGGGGAGAAAGAATTACAATGGTGTCTATGGAGTGGATTTAGTGTCAACACTCATACATTACATTACATGACATGTTACTTGTTAGAGGTACAGTCATTTAGTGAAAACAAATGTTATGGTGGCCACTGAGACATGGCTGTGTGTTGTTTTCGTGTTAGTAATTGACAGTGGGATGCAAGGGAATGAACAGCTCTGTTTCCTTTCCAAGCTAAGCATATTCTACCCAGTAACTCTGCTGTAGTCCATATAGGATTGAAAAGCCTTCAGGCAGATTAACTCACATTAAAAAAAGAAGTGAATTTGCTCCATTGTAATGTAGTGGGCAAATAATTACAATGCAATTCAAAAAGGAAGTTAATGACTTCTAATTAAATATTATATGTATCATATTTATATCTTAAGCCCTTATATAATAAAACATATATAATGGCATGCCTAACAGCTGGACAAAAAAATATATATATAGAAGCACTTTAAACGACTGGCTGTATCATTCCCCATTAATTAGACTGAGACAGAGAGTAGACACCACACACATACTGTATGCTCACACACACACACACACCTTGGTCATTAATGGTTACCTGTGGGCAACAATCATCAATGATGTGAGTGCGAACTAAGAAATCATAACACTGAACCCACAAACCGTTAGGAGACAGAAGTCAAAATACATCAAGCCCAGATGAAAGATGATTAACAATTGATTATTTTTATCATCTACTCTTACTCTCTCGTATTTCCAATTTGTGCAAATAAAACTTCTTATTGCTCAAAATGTTTGTCAGTGCTGGATTAAAGTGTTTCTTATGAACTTGATTATAACCTTTTTCTCTATTTGCAATAACTATTTTGTTACATTATAGCAAATCATTTTGAATAGGTATGTTATCTGTGTAGTGCATCGGAAAAAAATAATCTCTTAATACATCTTTCCTCTGAGCTCTAGAAAAAGGCTGCATTGGAGAAAATAAAAATACAATATTTAGGGAGCAATTGAATCCATACGCACATCAGGTTGTGACCAAATCGCATGCAGATCAGATTTGTCCCTCCACATTTTTCCTTAAAATAAGTAAAATAGCATCCAACATTCACTCAGATTGAATAGTCACCACAAAAGTAAACAGGCATTAGGCCTGGCATGCTTTTTAGTGAAATTAAATGTAAAGAAACATATCATATATAAAAGACAGTTCCACAAAAATTGCTGCCCAAATCTGAGATTTTACAGGAGTATCTATCCAAGACATTTTTCTACATTCAGATGCAAACTAGTGAATAAAAGCTTAAAACACATCAAAACCTCATATTGTGAGCAACAAAGCAAGCATCAAACACCTTATGTGTGCGTCATCGCATGCAGTTACCATACAGCATGAAGAAGACAATAATTACAGGTAAAAGGACAGGTACGTAGATGCAGACGGCTGCAGTAACTTCTGTGCAGTTGGATTGTTTCTCAAACACCAAACTGACAGGAAGTGACCTCATTTAAGAACATCTACTCGAGAGACGCACAACTTGACTGTACATATGGCTGAGACGCACAGAAATGCACATTCACACACACGCTCTCCCTCTCGAGGTTAGCACATATAAACCAGACGTACAGACATGCACAGATGGATATACATTTAGCACTGACACATGAGAGGGTGATGGAATGCAAAAGTAAAAATGTAGAGCACTTTTTTAAATGCTAACCTGAAATGATTAAATATCATCTTAGATAAACTCAATGATATCTAAATTGTACAGCTCCATGATCTTCCTGGAGTGTGAAATCATCAAGGCAAGGTGCTGCTGGTGTATTAAAACCATGAAGAAACAGACATGATAAATACCAGCCACTGCCTGCAGCAATGGCTGATAATTAGCCAATGTTTTAAAGGTCAAATCCATAATGTAGAAAACAAGATTATCAGTGATTATCGACACCACGTCTGAGGTCTAACAACCATAACGTGCTGATTATAGAACACCATGAGTGGAATACATATATTGGCAAAGCAAACATACAGTAGGGAAAAAACTGAGCAACATTGAAAAAGAACTGAAAGTGAGAGAACTAAACTAGGAAAAGGATAAAACTGAAAAAATTAAATAAGAGGTATGGAGAGGGTGAGCGTTTGGCCTTGGTACAGCGACAACAGCAAAGACAAAGAAACAGCACTTCTACAAACATGTCCAATTTATCTATCCTCTCTCTGCCTGCAAAGAAGTTAGTGCATTATGCACAAAGGACACCATAAAAAAGAGTAAGAAAAGAAGCCTGTGAGATAGTGTTTGGAAAAATATCCTTGGGGAAACTTCCAAAGTCAGAAGCTTTAAAGTGGTGGAGATTGGGTGGGACTTTGGGAAGTAAGATAAGGTAGAGGGCATACCGCTTTCGGCTTCTGCAAACAACAAGAAACATCTCAAATCAAACAGTTATCATGAACATAAAAGAAGAGGAGGAATTACTTTCTTTAAAGTTTCTCTTCCTTTTAAGTAGGTACACCTTATATAGCGGCATGGAGCACAACTCTGTACAGATACACAATTTAATTATTTCATGTTCGATATAGATCAATGATTTTTTTGACAAGGGCGTGAGTAATACCAAATGGCATCTAACTTTGTGGCTGTACATTTTCTAGAAAATATATGTTGTAGTAAAATAACACATTTTGGTGTCATCAGAAGAAGAAAAAAAGACTATTAAAATAACTTAACTAGCTACAAATAATTAAGACTGCAGACAAAAAAGCACTCAAAAATTATAAGGTTCAAATATGCACACAACTAGAATATCTATTATTTCAAAATTACTAAAGTTTGTGTTTAACTTAGAATGTCAAAATGTCCATGTTTTTGCCATGGGAACCTGTCAATACACAGAAAAAAACATTTGACAAAGGCGAATGGGATAGGGGTGGGTGAGATTTGGCAATAGAGATCACTGAACAACAGTACTTCATGTTGTTGTTGTTGTTGTTGTTGTTGTTGTTGGTGATAACACTGACACTGATGCAGAGTTAGTGGTTATCATACAGACTTAACAGGGACACAGTAGAATCAAGTTTAATCATCAAGGGGAAAACATGACATGATTAGAATGTGCAGCAAAATTGGCGCAAATGTATCTCTAAACTGACAACACAATGTAATCGAAATGAAACAAAGAAAGGCTGTTGCAGAGCGGTTACTTCTGTAACCAAGTTTACATATCAACCAAGTCTATTTTAGATGTATTCCTCCATACCTGCAAGGTTGGGTAAAGGCATTAGACTTGAGGCACAAAGGTATGTGCCTTGTGCTCGCTGAGTGATTTTAAAATTTTATTTTGAGTGTGCTGATGCTCATATTGGCATGCTATCATTCAAATGACATTCACCAACTTCATGTCATCAAATGTAATATGAATATCAACAGTTTTTTAAGGAAAAAGAAGATTTGAGGAAAATAACAAGATATTGTATAAGAAAATCCACTTGAAGTGAGTCACACACAAGCTCACTTTTACCACAGTTATAACTGATGTTATTGGAAGAAAGATGCAATAAACAAACCTGCTCTCTCTCTGCTCCGACTTGTATTCGATGGCAATAAGCAACAGCTTCAGCTTCACGTAACACAGCCTGGAAAACAAGTGCAGTAATTACAGTAGAGGACAGCAGTATACAGGCAAAAGAGTGATGTGTTCAAACGCCTTCGAAATTCACATCCTGTCTTTCTTTCTTCACTTTAGAATTATACCTACCACTGACAGTGGGCTTGCTGAGAGAGGAAAGAGTGATACTTACTCACAGATAGTTGGGAAGGTGAGGCCGACAAAGGCACTGGACAAATACTCTGTGTACATCTCATTAGCCACCCCTTCTAGGTAATACTTCTGCCATGTGTCCTCCTCAATCTGACAAAAAAAACAAGCATGGAAATGTCACATGTGAAGATACAAAAAAGGAGGAAAAAAAGCAACACAGTTTTCTTCCAATAGCAGCCCAATATGGTCTGCACATGTTCCACCGCACAACATCAGCCTGGTCATTATAAGCTGATCCATCATCTTTATGACAAGAGAACAGTTCTTTGATAGAGACAAGCACCTCTTCAATTTTGAGCCACAGAAACCCTGAACAGATTCCATATGAAATGTCACAGTAAAATATGATGTGCCACAACGACTGAAAACTCTCAAATGGAAGTCTTGTCTCTGGACAAAGATGTCAAAAAATGTCTGGGGAATGATCTGTGTTTGATAGATCTAGTCCATCTGTCAGCAAATAACCTACAGTATCCACTTATAACCTTGCCTTCAATTCCTGAATAAATCATCCAATATACAAAAACCCAATGTCAGAATTCATTAATCCATATTACTTTGGTCTGTTCAGAAGAAGTGACTGAGACAAGGCAAGTTAATCTTGTCCTCTGTGTTACCTCAATGAAGGACCTCATAGAGAAGAGGTTGGCGAGCATGGTGGACAGGCCCTGGGCCAGACAGCTCTGGGCTATGAAGCCTGCCTTCAGCTCCGCCAGGCAGATCGCATCGTCACCCTCTCTCCAGTTCCAGCTCGGAATGTTAAGCAGATGGGCCTGAGCACATGACAGACACAGAAAACCAAGTAAATTACTCATAATTTATAAAAAAGAATTGCTCCCTGGCTGAATGTTAGCGTTAAATTAAAAGATCCAGACCACTCTCATGTTGAAATGGCAAATATACTGCTTATAGCCAATAGCCGATTAGCTTAGCTTAGCACAAAGACTGGAATCATGGGGTAACGGCTAATCATCTATAAATATATCTAATAATACAAATTGAATATTCGTCTGAGTACATGTTCACTGTATTTTGTGTTGGCAACATTTCTAAATAAAAACATTTCAAAAACAATTTTCTATCAATGTATGATGTACTCATGTATATGTTGTTTTAAAAACTAGGAACAAAAAAGTCCATTGAAAATTGTTCGATCTTATATGTCCTAGTGGAGTACAGGATTGGAGAGCAATTGAGTGAGTGGTCACCTGTATGGCACATGATTTAACCAAATGAATTATCTAAATGTTGAGGATGAGGTGAAGGAACCGAATACATCACAGGGTCACAAAACGTCTTACCTTATTGTGATACTGTAGCATTTGTGTGATTATTCTGATCTTGGGATGGTAGTTCTTGATCGAAATAACCCTGCAAGAAAAACAGACAAAATGTAAAACCATCTTCATATTTTCCACTGATTTCCAAGTTCAGAGGAAACAATACCTCATGATGTTGGAGGCATCTTCAGCATCAGGATCTGCACAGTATTTATTGGCTAGGATTAAGCAGGCATCTGCTGACTCGATCTTTGTGTGGAGAACCAAAGAAACAGATGTTAACAGTACAGTCAATACTTAACGTAATATGTTATAGTTTTATTTAGTCATAATACTGATCAAAGGGCCTAATACTAATATTAAATTCTCTACCGGCTCTATTCATTTAAGAAATACACATTTGAAAACCCTGCAATGCCATCATGCACTGATTTCCTTCACTCTCTTTACCCACTGAAACTTTAAAACAAGAACGCAAAATTACTAATGGAATTTGGATCCTAATCATTTTAAATGTGGTCTACACTTTAGCTGAACCTCCTTGACAATAATTGTTTGTGATTTCAACTCTCCAAGAGTCCCTTCACCAATTGTACCTTCACTCTGGCGAGGTCGTGAGGGTTGAGAACAGATCCTTGGTAGAATTCTACTTGCGTAAAATGTCGTTTGAATAAGGCTTCCAGCTCAAGATTAGGGGAAATACTAGCACACAGAGAATAGAGAAGAGGGGTTAGTGCACCTTAAATACATACTGTGCATTGTTTCAGACATTGTGTTCCACTGATCTACACAGGGTTAGCAATAAGAAACTTACTTATGGAGAAAAACAATTTCAACATTGACATCATCCCTGTCCTTGTGTAGGAAGTCTTTGAGGAAGTTGGAGACACTTTCGAGGGTAATATGACCACAGACCACAATGTGCCTGGAAGGGGGGAAGAAATCATCTTGAGTGGGCAACATAAATCACTGCAGACACTGGCATGACTCCCAAAGATCATCAGTCAAATCAAAGCACTCTAACATCTTAGTCAAATATAGACTGAAAAAGTCTATATACATGTCAAGAAATGTCATTTCAAAGCAAACAAGTAACTGAATTATATATTTTTTGCCATAAAAGTGAATATTTTCCCTCTTGTAAGGCAAGTGGTTATATTCTGCACAACAAGTGCAATCAAACACTCAACTCTGAGCCACATTAGATAATCTAAGATATAATCACACAGCCCACAGTGGTTGGCTTCTCATCCGTTCTCAATATAAAAACTGCCCCTTAGGCCAAACCACCGCTTTGTGAGCTGAATGAATGTTGACAAAGACATGTACATCAATATGTTTTTGCTTTTATTCAGAACATTACTTAGAACTTTCAAAGTGATTTGGAGGCCTGTGGTTGACACAAATTCTAAACAGGACCACTGGGTTTCTGACGGGTCCCCTGGCAAAACTGTGGCGCATTACAGAGGGATCTGTCAGACGGTGCACATGGCTGATTCCAGCAGTAAGGAAGTTAGATTAGAAGTATTTTGGAGTTGAGGTTGTGTCCCTTTGTGTCCTCTAACTGCACCGTAGGCCAGAGTGATCAACTTTAAAAGGTCAGCTCCACAGTTATATCGCAGTATATGAGATTCATTTTGGTAGTTGGAATGGACACCATCTTAGTCTTCACTTTGATCCTAACTGTATTAAAGGGGCCCTATTATGGCAAATTTCAGGTTCATATTTGTATTTTGTGCATCTACTGTGACATGCTTTAATGTTAAAAATGTGCTTTATTTTTCTTTTCTTTTTCACCGTCTGTCTGAAAGGAGAACTCAGTTTGCTCTGATTTGTTCGCTGGTCGGCTCAGTTGTGTAAAAAGCTTAAAGAAGTCCCGCCCCTTATCCTATCACGGACAATGTGTTGGAGTGCTAGAAAAAACTAATATGTTGTAGTATTCCTTCATCATGTATTAGTCATTGTTCATGAAGATATTAGTTTTGCTTGATATATTTTTTTCCTTCTTAATCCTCTTAGGACTTTTGGTAATCTTACTCCTTTAATATTATTGTAGCACAGTTTTTAAAAGTTATTGGAATTAAAAATGGTTTGAACTCAACCAAGATATTGTTATAATCTAACAGTATTTAATCTTGCTAAACCAGTAGATTTAAAACACTTTACCGTTTCATTTTCCCTGTGGTAAACTGAGCTACCCTTTTGGATGTAATGTTAAATGTCACAAAATCTTATTGGAAAACCTTTAAATGAGAAATCCAAACACGCTCAGTAGAATCAAAGCCTTATATTGACATGGATTAGTGTGGACACTCGGCAGACACCCTAATTACCTTGTGGAGACCTGTATGGGAATCTGTGTAATGACAATGGCCTTATCCACTACTTAACAGGATGTGCCAGGAGACAAATGAACCACTTTAGTTTTGAGTGCCTGGAGGCCCGGCAGCTTTGCATTTAACACTAAGAGTATTGGGTTACTCTTTCCTAACATAAAAAATCACTGTGGTCATATTTGTTCAATGTTCAAGTTTGTATGATCAAACTGGATTTGTCTCCTTCAATTCCATTATTATACTCCCTGAGTAGATATATTCTACACAAGAAGGAGGCTCTGGCTACCACATTAGCCTTTAAAAGTGTACGTGTAAAGTTGCAGAACATTATTAAATCTGACTTAGTTTGGCAGGTTTAAAGGAAACAGATATTTATGAGATGCCACAGTCCAGATCAGTGGTCCCCTATCCTGTACCAGATGGACCAATAGGGCCTAACTGAAGTGTAATTGGCAAAGTAAAGTGACAGACATATTGAGAGAATGGCAGCTTGTGGATGTTGCAGGACATAATGGTCTTCGCAGATGTCGCCTCTGTGCTTTAAGAGAATCTAATGACCAGCCGTGATTGCACGCTTGGCCAGAGTTGAGCAAAGGCCCGTGTGGTCTCACAAGCTGATGAGCTGAGATGTCTGTAGGCAGCCGACAGTACTTGGCACAAGATGTTTCTCATTGCGGAAAATGAAAAAACCTCAGTCACGTTTTCCTACTCGCATCATCCAGATGCCCTACCACAAGGGTAGTGGGGATACACATAGTTATGTGGCGTATTATTTGGTTTGTGTGGGCTCAGGATTAAGTGATGAACTTCAAACACATACACATTAATACACACTAGTTTTAGTTGGTGGTTTATCAGCAAAGCAAAACTTTCTTCCTCGTGTAATTACCATTGTTACTTTCTCTGATCCTTTTTTTTCTTTCCCTGATCAAGCCACAAATTTGAGGCTCAGTAGTTTTAGACAAAGAATATTCTTGTGATATCATGCATCACTTGAAAGACATAATTTAGGTAGACCAAGTTTCCTTCTTTCAACTAGCCAATAGTCCTATAAAATAGGACAATGACATCACAGTTTATTAGGATATAAGAAAATGATATATAATATGATTTAACTATTAATAATTGCTTCATGAACAAATTACTAGGGCTGTATTGGCAAAGCTATAGGTGTCCAATATATATATATATATATATATAGACAGAGGGGATTATGATTCAATATATGCAATATTTTGTGATACTATAAGCACTCATTTCAATTTTGGGACACACCACCATATGCACAAAATCTGAGAAAAATAAGTTTACTTTTGCGACCTCCTATTAAAGTATATGTACTGTATGTGTGTAACGCAACACAAAATGAACAACTGTCTGCAATACATTTTTGCATTTTTACCAATAATTAATTTCTTTACAAAATATAATATTGGAATACTAAATTATATCGGTATTTTCTGACACCCCTAAAAAATACCTCCCATCTGGTTCAACTGATTGTATTGGTCTTTTTAAACTACAGACAAACTTTAAATAACAAAACCAAGGAAAACCAAGCACATCAACCCAAAAACTTAACATCAGTTTTACACACAATCACATTATATGCAAAGGGATTTTCAGAGCGTGCACATAAAACATGCAGTCGGGTAACATCCCAGGATGTCATTGGGGAAACACTGAATACAGAACAAACAAACAGAGAGCTCAAACATCAGCAACAGAGGTCACTCAAGTGGTACTGCTCTAATCCTTAGGTAAGTGATGAAAGACACTGAAAGAAACATCGTCAAAGTGTTTCAATGTATACAATTATTCCTCTTCAAAAAGTGTGCAGGTATATATAAATGCACTCTGACTTTACAGTGTAATAGTATGCAGATATCAGCCTTAAGCGAGCGTGTGTTCAAGCCCAATAGTGTCCGAGTCTTTAGGCCTGCTAGCCTTAAGTTGCTATCACTTACAGAGGACATTCAAAAGTAGATGTCAGAGTTCAGCCGGGGTTGAAGCTAGTTTCCATGGCAACCCCTCTATTGAAGTCAATGCTAATGGAAACCATAGAGCCATAATGGAAACCACAGAGTCCCAAATGCAGTGGGCGCCAACAGTATGCAACACTTGTCATTATTGTATCAGCATAAGCAGGCTGAGTACTGTCACTGGTGTATGCTACACTGCACAGAGTTATATAAGCAACACTACGAGAAACAGACATTTAGCATGGAACCAATGTGAGTCTCTCTCACTTCCAAATACCCTTAAAGGCCTGTTTCAAATGACAGTGGCCAGGCAGTGAGATGAAATAAGGGTTACATTTAAAATAGTTCGCAATGTGTAATGACCTCATTGTTTGTGAGCTCTGTAATCAGTCAGATACTTGTAATCTCCTAATCTCATTTCCATGATAGACTTTTTCCTTGTGCTGACAGCTGCTAAATAACTGAACCCCGATGGCAATCCTAAAGCCACATGACAGAGCAGTTCTGTCTATCTGTCAGGTCCTATCGTGTAAACACCAAAAGCATACATATCTAAATGATTATGCAAAGAGCCTTGTGGCACTCTTAGCCTGTGTGTTTGGTGGGTATCTTCTGATTGTTACCATATGTTTGCACTGTATGTCCAAGCTGAAAGAGAATTTGAAAGGGGTGCGGAAAGAGAAAATAAAGTGTGTTTGGAGAAACTATCCTCAGCTTTGACAAGGGCTTCTCTCAACACCCATCTGTGAGTCTGGGCTGAGGTCACTGGCCAAACATAACATTTCATCAATCTTATCTCAATGACAGGCAAACATTAACGAACAAAGACCTTTTTTTCCAAATGCTGACTTGCTAGAATATGCCCCGCTGAATAGAGTGACTGGAACCAATCAGAGTAAGATGGAAGAAGAGAAACAGTAAGAAAGAAAAGTGCCATAAAAGAAAATGAGATGAGAAGAGAAGAAGGAAAAAGAAGAAGTCCACCCTCCCTGTTCTAGACACTTTTGGATGAAATATATCTGTTTGCTGAAATTAGTAAGGTTTGAGCCACAATGGGAGGAGAACAGTACTGGACAATAAGCTCTTTGGTACAATGACCACAGTGTCAAACATATTTCACAGTGCACTCGAACCTCTGCAGTGAGAGGCCAATTAGACATATACATCAATTACAAAAGCTTTAGGAGACAAACTCCACCACCACACAAACACAAGAACCAGGCGAGCACAAATGACCAAGCAGGAAAAGCAAGCCAAAAGCAATTGAGAGCCTCCACTGGGAGCGAGGCTTCCAGCATTCAGGGTGTGGGAGCTGACTGAAGATCAGGGCCAGAGTCATGTCAAGCATTGATGATGCGATGGGATAGCGGTGACAGACAACAGGAAGAGGCTTTTTTCATGGAGTTTTCAGAAATGAAAAAAGCCACATGACTGCAGGTCGTAGAGAACATGCCAGAAATGATGCAAATAAAGAAAATTATTTTACGGAAAAAGTGCAAAAACAAACTCAAGCAAAATGAAACAAGAGAATAAATAATATCCTGCAATGGCCATTGAGATTGATGATGCTTAAAAAGACCACCAATAATAATGCACTTGCAGATGTTTACATTTTTCTATTTTCTTAAAAAAAATCCTTTGGAAGTGGATAGTAGAGGTTTCATGACTATTTTTTTCCAATTTGATATATTGTATACTAATTACTCACTATAAGCGAGGCTGTTTCATTAATGAACAACACAGAGTGAGCCGATATATTACATAGGAGAACCACAGGTTAGTATACTCAAGGTCTAAAGTAGTCATGAAAGCTCTATTTTCCAAATTAAATGATAGCGCCACACAGGATGTGTCAAGGAGGACAACGAAAGAAAATGAACAGCACACAAATGAATTCAGGAGAGCTCTGAGTAAAGGAGAGATAGAGGAAGAGTTATAGAGCAAGGTAGAGAGAGAAAGAAGGAGACAGAGAGAGATTACAAGAGACAGAATAAGGGGGCATGGACATGTGAGTCCTAATGGCCAAGGTCTCCAGTCACGCAGTGTGACTTAACGTTTTAAACTAATTTTACTGTTGTTCAAAAAAAATATAATCCCCTGTAACTATAAACTTTGAGGGGGTGCACTTAAGTCACACAACCACACCTTGTCTGGATTTCAACTTACTTTCTGCCTCGTGTTGAGTTATAACTCCCTCCGTATTTCTTCCGATTAAGGATGAGAGCAGCAATTTCTGGCACGTAGCGAGCAAACATGGCCTACATGCATGGAACAGAAAAAAGAAAAGGCATGCAGAGAGGGTTCTACCGCACACAGAAAAAACAGCAGAACCATCTGGAATACTTACTTTCTCCCATTAACCGCACTATAGGAACCACCATATTTCTTTCGGTTTCCTATTAACTCTATGATTTCAGGGACGTAGCTGGCAAACATGGCCTAAGGAGAAGATAAAAGAAAGAAGAAGAGACTAAAAAAGAGACTTTTACGCCGCAGGTTGGGTTGTGGGGAAACTGGTGAATTAATCCAGATTTCTGAAGGGGGTTGAATACTGCTTTGCTATTACAATTAAGTTAAAAGCTCTCTTGCTTGTAGAGACTTGCTAAACTTTATTTACCAAATCCTGTTGTCGCTTTAAAAAAAATAGCCCCCATTTTAAAGGTAAATGTTTAGTAACAGGTTTGATTAGTTTGAATTTTGTCACAGCTTTTCAATAGTCAGTCTGTGATACCCAATACTTTTCTGAATAGCAGAGTTTAAAAGGGGGAATTTAAACCTATGTGCCATGTTTTGTCCAACAAACACAGATTATTTGGCAGGTTGATTTGAATAGGCCCACCTGATGGTCCACAGCTGCAAAACACATTAAGACTCATTTGTTGGGCTGGAAAATGAGCTGGATGCATTTTGCAAAGTTCCACAGCCAGTTATCCTAGCACAGGGTGGGGTTTAAGTTTACCGACTAACAATGGGATTCCTCACTAGCACTATGCTCAAATCTACAATAAGAATGAAATAGTTGCCCTTTCCCTGTAAATACATACTTAACTCATGCTAGGAAACTGAATCTCTACATCAGCCGGAATAAGTCAAATGACGTGAGTTTAATATGATCCCTGGCTTTAAAAGATCTCCAGCCTGAAGTCATTATTTGGCCACCGCTGCTGATAGGGAGCAGGTTGAGGTACTAGCCTAAAGACTTCCAGAGCTCTCAGCACTGAGAAAAACACACAACCTATCACCATGGCCACAGCACGGTACACATCCACACAGCTGCAGGTCATCAGTGCATAGCGATAGCTGTCTAAATGCATAGCACAGTAACTGTGATTTAGTTAGATCCTCGATTTTCTAAGAGAAGGAAGAGGAGGCGGGGTCTACAGTATGCGTCTGTGAGTGCTTACAGGTGTGTACACCCATGAATGCTTATTGTTTTTAAGTTACTGCACTAGTTGTAATCCAATAGGATGCTAGATAAGAGGAAGGTGAGCGAGGGGGGGATTTTAAAGCTGCTGTTGCTATGGTAACAGTCAGGTTGGCCTAAGCCTCATCTCCCTGCCCCTGTGTTTGTTGGAATTTTGGGAAAAGACACAGGAGGAGGGGTGTCCTGATACCGCAACTGCTTTTAAGAGAACAGTAACAACATTATCAGACAAAAACATACACTCTTATCAAACAAATACAGGAGTGACACATAAGGGGAGGGACGTAGGAGCACATAGTACTGTAACTACAGTAGACGAGATACAGTAGGCTATACGAAGGATAAAACTTTACTGTGACAAAAAAAAATACATTTAATGGTTCAGGCAACATGGTTCTAACATTCTAACAGCACTGCTAACATATCATAACATACATCATATCATAAGTAATAAAAAGTATTCCATAGAAATGTTTCATTAATATATAATTTTCATCATTCATCAACAGTTTTTTAACATTCTAGTGATGGGGACAGGCAGGATTTTGAAGGAGCAAAAGGGGGTAAAGGAGAAAGAAAAGCGTGATTTTACCAAACCACCCAGGATGAAGAAGACCATAAACAGGCGCCCCAAGGTGGTTTTTGCATAGACGTCCCCATAGCCCACTGTAGACATCGTCACCATCAGCAAATAGACACATTCCCAATAGGAAAGTACTTGAGAATTCTGGAAGTTTTCCCAGGGATCCCCTGAGTTTTCAACCTAAAATGTAGACAGGAAAGGGAGGGAATGATAATTAGACCTGACTCTAACCACTCATTTGTAAACAGTGTTTTGTACAGCAAAACTCTTTAATCAAGTCTGATTAAATCCAGCTCCAAGAGTCACACAGTATTATGTGTTATATATTGGGCAAAGGCTACCATCTAGTGGTCAAACAGTGTGATGCTTTACTGAGTCGTTGAGCAGAGCTACAAATACAGAATGTGTACCATAGAATCTTGAAAAAATATGTGACACTACACACAATATGTATTGCTTTTATGATTATTTTCATGGTATGTTGCCGAAATGTGAAGTTTGACAGTGGATAGTTAAAGAAAACAGGGGGAGTGGGGAGACATACAATGAAAGTCAAACTAAATGTTTGGAAATTGCAGTTCATTGAGTCTTAAATCACCAAGAAAACACATGTAATTATATTCCCAATACTTCTCTTACTATATCTGTGTTATAAAAGTATTGTGGTACCTTCCACTCTTGAATTATTTACGCATGAATTGGTAGTTGTTTACCTCAAACAGATGGCCATAATCAACCTTCCTTTATTTTTTACTTAATTCTTGGTATGCATCGATCAGCAGCAGCATCTATACTTACCTTATCAAGCACAACGGGCTAACCCACATAAATACACTCCCCTCATCAAAGTCATTATAAAATGTAGTGATTCTACTATGAGTTATTTAGTCATTGCAAACAGTCTATAAAGTCTCAGTGCCAAAGCCATTACTAGCCATGTGTTACTTACTTAACATAAAAAATGAGCAAAGCCAATGATTCTGGTGAGGTGAACATATTTTTAATTTATTTGTGAAAACAGAGCACTGGCATTGGATCATTCCTAGCTATTGGCAGAAAACGTTAACTATGTTCCTGGAAGGGATATTGAGGGACAAAATGTGAATATCCCTAATAGCAAGATGTGAAAAAAGTAATCACAATATAATTTATTTAAATTCATTTTGAAATTGGCCAATTCTTAAACAGGATATACTATAATATTTTGAAAAGGTCTCCATGTCATATAGCTGTTTAGCAAATGTTTAGTTACCTCCCTTACTGGCTCCCTAATAACTAAACCTCACATCTATCCCCTTACCAAATGTATGAATCCTGCCGCTGTGAGCCATGTGCTGATGAAGATGGAACACAGGTTTACCAGCTTGATGGAATTGCTGGGTAGAAGAGGAAGAAACACAAAACTCTCAAAAACGTCAGATCATAAGGACAGAAAAACAGAGATTCGTGAGCTAATTAAAGTAAGCTGTTGTGACTAAAAATAACCTACAGCCAGGACAGTTGAGATATTTGATCAAATTGATGAAGGATTAATGCTAACATAAGCTCAATGAATTATAGAATGGGACAAAATGCTTTAGTCTTTAAATCTTTTTTTTTTAAGTCTTTATTTCGAACGGATTAAAAAACAAAAAAAAACAAATGTGAAAAACAGAATACCGTATTGTTAAATACAGTATTTATCCACATTCATGGTAATATTTGTATATTCAACAAAAAACAAAAAAAAGTCTTCATATTAATAATAATAATAATAAATGTGTCCGAATATGGTATACTTCATAGAGTGTGACAAAGTATCACAATACATGTATTTATTATTAACCTTAACAAATAATTATGATACTGCATGAAATATGCATGAGACATGTAGTTTAATACACATTTATGTTCTGACTCAGACATACTGTATTCCAAAAATGCCACATTATAAACAGTATTTAACGTTTTCGGGGACTCACTGTTAAAAACATAATGTAGCTTCTGCTTCACAGTAAGGATACTAGGTGAATATGTTTCTTGTGAATGAATAAGGAAAGGTTTATTATTACCTTGTTTTCAAGATGTTCAAAAACTGAAGTATTTCCGAAAACTGTATCAATCGTAGTGCTCTTAGAAATCTTAAGCCTGTAAGAAAGAGAGAACGACATAGACACAAAGAGAGGAAGATTAGCACATGTAATGGATGCAGTACAACTAATGATATTCTCACATTAGATTAATATTCATTTATCCATGAGTTGGGTGTTTTGTAAAATAGTTTTACATCAATAACAGAAACATTTGGCTATGAAGAAATAAACAGATAGTATGGCTTAAATGTTTTTCTACACCACTTCAAAATGCATTCAGTGAGACACAAGGAGATGACACAAAAAAGTAGAAACTTTATTCTAGATGATGTGTTGGAATTATTAATGCACATAAACAAGTTAGGAGGAACATCTTGTGGCCTAGTTTATATGAGCCTCCGTCGCATTCAAAAGCAGCTCGCTTAGGGATTATAGAACAGTGCAACACCTGCCTCATTGTCCTTTTACATAACACGAATGATGCCATGTAACGTGCGTGTGTCGCATCTCTATATAGTTCATATTCCTCTACAATCAGTATACAACCTACAAATATAAATATAAAACAGTGGCCATACACCATATGCCAAATATCTTTCAAAGAACATCCAGCTTCAAACAAGAAACAACATCATCTGGATAAATAACTTATAGATACATTTGATGGACATCTCCAGATAATACATATCTGTACACTGACACATAAACCCTTACCCCAGTATGAGATGATGCGCATATAAGTCCGCACTGAATGATAGAATCCTGTCTGCCTTTCCTCCTTTTGACGATGACCCTGCCTCACCCTGTACCCCTTCTGAAAAAGCTCGCCACCGGACTTCTTTCGCCTTCGAGTCTCTTTTATAGCCCTCAAATCAGAATCACTGACGGTACGACGGAAGAGCAGCTTTGAAGAAATCATGTTTACACGTTATCCCGTCAAAAGGAAGTCCTTTTTCGTCTTGCCAAAACGGGTGTTAAAAAAACCCAAATATATTCTTTGCGTTCCAAAGCACCTTCAGAAAACAAAATCTAAAGATCCTTTCCTAGATTTAGCTTATTCCTAAAAAAACGAATATTTCCCGATCCAGCATCCCCAATATTAGAAGACAGTTAAAAAGAGAATTTAAAAAGAATGTGAAATCGATGGTCACTGCTGCAAACAAACAATCGAAAACAGACAGCTAGAATTGAATTGCTTGTTCAATCACATCAGCCTTGCCAGGGACTGTGCCTCCGGGAGCAACATTTCAGTTCTAATAGGTTATTTTTTTCCCTTTTTTGTTAAAGTGCCTTTAATCCCCACAGCCCAAACAGATGTAATCTTCTAATGCCCATTTTTGGTATTTACCTTACCATTGTAAAGCTTTGTCTCCATCAACAGACAGCTGTGTCAAACCTATTTTCTAAATTTAAACCCTTCTAGGGATTATCAGAGATAACAGGTAATACTAAAGTGATGCAGAACAAAAAAAATAATCCTGGCTTAAATCTGACTGACCTGTCCCCAATGGTACAAGGGCAAACAACTCTATAACAATTTGTTGATACTAAAATGTAATGGACAGTTCAAGGCTGGGTCATTTCAGCAACACACCTACTTCATGGTCACACAAGGACACACAACATCTCTATACAACTAAACGTGTTACTTTAAATTTGAATGCCTTTGAGGAGAGACTGTCCAAAAGCATAATCCACATTTGTAAGGTTTGCCCTTTCTATTACTACAGTATTGTGTGTGTGTGTGTGTGTGTGTGTGTGTGTGTGTGTGTGTGTGTGTGTGTGTGTGTGTGTGTGTGTGTGTGTGTGTGTGTGTGTAACTCAATTCTGCTCCCTTTAATACGTGTTCATGTATGAGAAAATCCCTTTGCAACACATGCAACAGTCCCTTGCACACACACAAGTGTCAGCTGGCCAGATGCTCATTCAAAAAGGTTTTTCTGCTTTGTGCCCACTCTTAGTTTATTGAGGCTTTGAGAGAACGGCCTGTCTGTCAAATGTCCTGACAGAGCAGCCTACTGGGACCGTTTATCAATCAGCACTCTCGGACGGTTGATCTGAATAATACTGACAGTCAACCCTGCCAGGATTAGATCATATAATGCTACACATGGCACACACACAAGCATAATGCACACGGGAGCTAGTTTAGCACTGGTTCTGTCTGGACAGTCATGCTGGAAAGACAGCATGTGTGTAGTACATTAAAAACCAACAACAATTTATTGTAGCCTAAACTCAATTTATTGCAGTGCAATTGCACTATTGTGTAAGCAGCCTTGCTACAGAAAACATAAATTAGCTTCCCTCCACTGAATGTACATGGAGGCTTCCTGCCAGTGACTAAAAGGCCATATGAGGCAGATGCACTCATGCCCATGTCAGGTGCTGTAAGCCTCTTTCAGCAGAAAAACACAAGCATCAACCAACAGTATACTAAAGCACCACCAGGAGGCAGTAGCAGGTTACATTTAAAGCCATGCCTGAAGCTTCTACAGTTCTGTACATCCTCAGAGCCAGAGCTCAACAACACTGAGGTTAATCACCTAAAAACTGAAAATAATACACAACACATTCGAGAGCGTGTTAATTCGGTTTGTAAATGCATCATTTAAAGAGCTACTGATGCCATTTATTTCCACAAATTGTTCTATTGGGGGAATAATCCAGACAGACATTACTGTTCCCTTGTTTTAATAACTTGGGAGTAAAGCCTGAATTTATTAGCGAGATTAAAGAGTTGGGGCTCAGTAGCCAATTGAGCGCCATATGCTAAACCTAAACTAGCAGGACTCTCTTGAGAGCAATGCTCAGTTTAAGTATTTAAAGGAAATTAATTAATTTTACAAGGAAGAACTCTCCATGCCCTCTTACATTAGCCGCGGATCGTTCTCCTCCTCTTAATCAATGTCCAATTTGCAGAGGCAGAGAGAACATAACTTGAAATGCATAGAGCAGATACTTCTTCCTGTGCAGAGTGGGCAGGAACACTATCACACAGAACAGGGCAGAACCCCTATTAGCGCTCTCTTTTCATTATGCACCTCCACTGGATCTCTAGCAGTGTTCTCATGCAGAACTGTAGCTGAAAGAGTGAAGCGAAAGGTACTGTAATTATGATGCATTACTCTGGCTTAGGTGTGTATTCCCCAGCAGTGAATGGAAAGAAAAGATCAACTAATCCTTTGGGACAAAGGAGCACAACACAAGTTCCTAACAACCACCCTGGGCTAGTTTAACAAAGCCTGTTAAGGGACACAATATACACTTAGCTCAATGATAGTAGCACCAATTATGGATTATTGTATTGATTTTAAGGAAAACCATTATGACCCTGTCAAGCATTAAGATGTATGTAGAGGGCAATAGTCTTCAGGGAAGTAGCAATTACATTTATTTAACCATGAATATCAAAGGTTACCGTATGAAAGCAGATCAGGCATCGCTTGTGTTTTTTTTATTTTTGTTGTCACAACAGTGTACCGTGTGTGTCCTGATTTCCATATTAGTACAGGATAGAAGCAGCTAATCATTATTCCTGTCCTGACTCCTTAGAGCCTGAATATTAACAGACACTTTCAGCACCCTATTAGTATTCTAGAAGCTATCACCAGCGTGTTGGGTGCACCCCATATAACTGCAGAACTACCCACTCTTCATTTTTATAACTTAGGCTTTGCAACTCTGTCTGAAGCATTTAACATGGACAAGCACACCACCAGGAAACATACACCTAAGCCATGCCACAGGGAGTTCTGTTACCATGACACACTGTGGTTATATATGCCCAACACTGCAAAAATAAACGTGCTCTAAGGTTTGAAGGACATGCCACATGATGTTTTGTCATAGCTAAATAAATATTCGTCCAGATCATTCCCTTTTTGAAATAATAGTACTAAAAATAAAATGTATATTAATAGCTCTGGAATCTAGGGCATCTCTCAAACAATATACATTACAACTCACACTGCAGATGCACTGTATATAAAAGGCCTCTTAGCCTCTATGAACCCCAGAGTGCAGGATATTTAATAATCATAGGTAATTATTCAATGCAGAATGTGGGGCAGCAGCCAGACCATCATTTCAAAGTCTTTCAGCATCCTTTATCAACAGCAACGGCTTTCTGTGGATGAGCCGAGGACACCTTACATCATGAATACCAGAAACCAGATTACTTGACTTGGCCATATTTTATTCAGTGCACAGCTTGTTCTCTGTGAAATGCATGGGCCACAGGGAGCCTCTTAAGAAACCTTCATCATCTCAAAGATTAGATTTCAAAGACAAAAATAACAGCATACACATTAGGATGAAAGGTAGACTGCATATTCCTGACAGCATAGTCTATATCATGGATACTATGAATAATTAAAGTTGACTTGGGTGTTATTTTAATAGTTTCTGTCAGATTGAATAATATTTTGTTTATAACCAAACTTGGATGTTGACTGCTCCCAATATAAATAATCTGCTGAAAATTCCCAGAGTTGATTGATTTGTCATTTGCTCAAAGTAATGCATTCAAAATACTGTAACCCAAAACCTAATAAACCAAAAATGATTAAATCAAACACTGATCTTACATCTGAGAAGTTTAAATCAGTGGACATTTGACTATTTGCTTGACATAATCTAAAACAATGAATTGATTAATAAAATAGTTACCTTATTTACTCCCTCACGGATATTATTGGTATTAGATTGTTCATTTAAATCTCACTATATAGTATAACTAAAATAACCAAAGTTAATAGGATTAGTAATAATTATTCTGTTCAATTAAAACATGTGTGCGCATAACCATGGTAAGCATGGTTGTTAAACCAGGAAATATGTAGACACTGGTTTAAACCTGTATGATCTAATAATTGCTCATGGTTCTTGAAAAAGTTAGACTTCTTTTCAAGGCTAAACAGTTCTTCTATCCAAGACATTTTAATTATTGCTAGTTATCAGTGTAGGCCTTTTTTACAGTAGATATTTTTGAAATGTCATAGCAAGAAAAGCTCTGTGTTATTTAAGGGTGTATCAAGTATTTACAACACCAGGACCCTGTGATGTGTTACAGAAGGAAAGAAATGTTTGGGCAAAAGAATAAATACAAATAAACAGAAATACCTCTATATATAAAATATGTCTTTCTGAGGTTAATTTGTATCAGTTTTTTTTTCTGTCTTTTAGCAAATATTTCTTTGCACTGAGAACCTTAAATAATTTCACTGTAATTTAATACAGTTGCCTCTAATACAGATAAACATTGGATTAGCATTCACCTAAGTTATAAATAAAGTAAAGAAGCCATGTATAAAAATGACATGGTTTCAAAAGAAGAGTGCCAGTGAACCTGAAGAAGAATACAGCTATAAGGAAACTCTTTTCACTGCAGTGTAATTTAGGCCACAACACTCTGAACGCACTGAGAAAAGTAGGTCGTTATGTAATGCAGGTTAGGGTGTTTTCCAGCCTGCTCATGCAAGAGTGTGTGCATGTGTGTGTATGGGAATAACACAAACTTTTGTGTTGGCATCTTCTTAGGTGATTGTGAATTAATCCATTAGATGGCAGTTACGGACTGCAGTGAGTAATTTCAGGTGCACCGCCTCAACACTGCAATTACGAATGAGTCGAATGCGCGCACATACACAGACACACACACACAAAACCACAGTGTGTTTGTGAGTCACTCTCACTCCCATTGGCCAATCCACTCTGCTGTGTCTGTGTTTCCTGAAACATCAGAGGAACCCAGCCCTGTCACTTTCAATGATCACGGAAAGTTGACTGCAGCCCCTGAGCGAGAGGGCCTCAGAGACACACTCCCAGTAATGGGGAGACAGAAGGAGGACTAGGAGGCAGAGGGGGAGACACAGAGTGATAAAAGGAGGGGTGACATGTGAAGATAGAGGGCAAAATAATAAATGGGGAGTGTTTGGACGGAGGCGTTGAGAAAGACATTTGAAAATGGTGAAAGAAATATACATCACATACAAGAAAAAGTGGATTAATAACACATAGGAACAGCAGAAAATATATACAGACTTACCGAGCCAGCTTCTGTTCAAGTAGACAGAAACAAACACGGGAGGAACAGTAAAGAAGTCTACCACTGAGTTGACCTCCAGCCAGAACCATAGTTTATCATTGGCCGCTATAAACTGTGAAAAGAAAGAGAGATGGCAAAGCAAATGAATTCTAATGTTATACAAAAACAGCAACTCTCCTCCACAGCCCACCATAAAACTGCATGATGACATATTGTATAGAATGACAAAAGCTTCACCCCACTTGCTGAGTCATGCGAATGGTTGGTGGGGTAAGCTGCTTATGAGTTTGTTTATTCATTTATTCAGGATGGCAGGCTTGCGTTGCACAACTGGAATGTTGCTATGGCATGACAGACATGCCATAGCAACATTATGACAACAGATTTAAAATAAAGGCATCCTGTGTGCGTATTTAGAAAGTTGGGTCTGCTTGTTTGAAAGCATTGTTGGTTGTCTCCATAAAGATGTTGTGTTTATATTTATTATCTTTTACAAAAATATATATAGAAAAGATAATATGAAAACATTAAATATACTGTGATTGGAGTGGAAAATAAGAAGCATTACATATATTTTTGTAAGATTCTGTTTATTCTGCTGCATGTAAAACAATGCCTGCCTGCATGGCTGTGCTTATTGTTTGTGCCAGCTTGTTAAACAGTATGCCTGTTGATGTGTACTGTGCATGCACAACTTACGCGCAGTCCAAAGTAAAGTAGGAAGAAGACATTGAAGGCCATATCGATCTGTAACGTGAAATCTTTCCAGAAATTCTGGCAGGATTCTATCGGACTAGAAAACAAAGAGAAAGAGACAGAGGATGAGAGGAGGAAAAACACACATTATTACAAGGTTATGCATTCATGAACTGACACTGTAAACAAAAATGTTTTTCTTCAGATTGTATTCGTTATTTACAATGAGCTTTGCATAGCAGTATGACTAGGTAACATGGTGGATTCAATATCACACATCATTACAATTATAGTGTACTATATATATTATATGCAAAATGAATATTCTACTGTATTCCACATTTTGTTCGTTTTTAAATCAGTTACTTTGGAATGATCAATTTAGCCAACATAATTTGTTGCAACAATAAGATATTATCACAATTATCACAATACAATCCCACCAAGAGGCGATGTCCTTGCTCCTCAGTTCAGGATAATCACAGATTTATGTTTTTAAGAGGTGCATATACTGTATGTCCTGATTTCTCTTTGCTCACCTTTTCTCAGTTCAGCTCACTGATAAGAAAGCGCTCTCTGGTAACAAAAGCCTGTCTGAAGCTGTCAAGGTCAAATGGTGCTGACCAATGCTTGCCATTTAAACTGGCTCTACCCAATCCTTTTCCCGTAGTGTATATATTTTCACATTAACTGTAAAACCTCTGGCTGTTAATGTAACAAGAATAGATACAAATATGTGATATAAAACCCAATGACTTTCCATAGGGTTATTACGTCCTGCAATTCACATACAAAGACAAATGTATATGTAGATTCAACCATATAGATAAAACTCAAATAGGTAATTGCTTTGATGTGACAGTACAATCCAGAAGCATAAATAAATCAGCATCTGTAAAAAACGATATTCTCTTTGATGACAGAGACTTGCACAGATAAAACATGCTGCATAGCTCTCTCTATGTAATGCTTGGTGTTGCTTAAAAAGGCAGAAGATGATATATGAGTCATAATCTTTCTGGCGTGTCACGTAATCCATCTTCATTTTTATGTTCATGCTTCTTGTGGTGATTAACCATTAGCTAGTGGGTGCTCTCTACAAAAGCAATAATAGGCTGTGTGCCCGGGCTATTTTTCACTTGTTCATGGCTATAGCATGTTGCTCCTGCGTAGTGAGGAAATCCTACAGCGGAAAATATGAATTATGCATCATGATACGGCTTGCTATAGGCGACCTTTGGGAATGTATAGACTGACAAGGGAACACACACATGGCCTTTAGGAGAGTATACAGTTACAAGTCCCATATGTTCACATTCAAACATTAAAGTATACGCTTGTATGCATGGAGCCCACAGGGGCACAGGATGAGATCGAGAGCAGAGCTTACTGAAAAATCCGCGAACCTCCAGAGAAGAGTGAAGCTTAATCATCTTCCAGTTAACATCAAACATTTTATCTCACGATGATGCATTATAATGGATGGCTGACTACAGACATGCCAGAGAGGACGTATTGCTCCAAGAGGATGATCCAATTTCTAATCTAGCAGGGTAGGCCCCCTGATTCTAGTCATGAGTGTGTGTTCTGTCTGGAACATATCCTAAGGACTGATGTGACCTTTACGATGATGGCTCATGGCCAAGATGATTAGAAAGAGTCTGATTTATGCAGCAATTGTTTAAAACTAAAGTGACTTTGTTTGGTTAAAAGGCATTTTCTCATATAATGCTATCAGATTATGGATGGAGGTTTATTCGTTGTTGACCGCTTGGAGGAGTAAACATTGATCTGGCCTAAATAATCAATTAACAAAACCCCACCGGCATCTCCATGTGTGTCTTTTTTAGGCAACAATCATGATAGCTAAAACAATCCTGTCATGAATCACACTTACAACCTAAACAGACACAATATTCCTCATGTCCATCTACGCACTTCCCAATGAAGCTCATGTAACCTCACTCGCGAAAATGGATCTGAAACCACAACCTAAGATAACCTTAAAGACCTTTGTGCAAGAGAGTGCCCACACATACATGCTAATAACACACTTACAAGCACTTTAGTGCACATACACTCACAGATGGTGCACGCTGAAGACACCATTTGGAGTGGTCACTGGCGTTTCCCCTCGGGCCCAGCTCTGGCCTAATTCTGTATAACGGCTCATCTACAGTCACATGACCCGAAGCATTCTCCGTAACACGGAGAGAGCATGGCGGCACACAGAACGGCTGAGTGGTACATGGAATTCGTCTCGATTTGAGTATTGTAAGGCAGAACAAAGGCTACACTCTAAGAGCTTTAATTTAGTCATTTTTACATTCATTATTCGAAAGTAAAACTATCATTAACTGAAGTAGTGGGAAGATGCATCAGGCAGACCTATGGTTTTTCTCTTAGGCTCGGAGGCACAATAGGAAATTAAGAGTGCATCAGTGCAGGCTGGGAGAGGTGCTGTAATTGTGGAGCTGCTGAATGTGTTTCGAATAACAGCACATAAATAAACTTCCCAAATGGCAATGCAGACTGAAAAGCACAACAAATTAATTCAGTAGTTGCTATACAGTATATGGCAAGTCATAATGTTTAACTGCATCCTCTTTCAGGATGAATACTTCTTAAACACAAATCTGCATACAGGGTAGTAAATAGATGGAGCAAGAGAAAAGCAAATAGATATAATTAGATGTGTTGTTTGAGCAGAGATGTGACTCATCAACTAATACACACAGCTTAACAGTGAGCCATCCTTTTTCTGCTAACATTAAAGCAATATTTCCAAATAATATGTTTAATCTCATCTAATTTGAATGGATAAACAGTTGTAAATAACGTGTAACAAGGTGTTTCTTGGGAATTATTACTCTCACGCTCATCTCAGACAAGCATTTTAAAAACTTCCAGATGGTTGTTTCGATTTTACATTACATTACATGTCACTTGGTAGACGCTTTTATCCAAAGTGACTTACATACTCAATACTGTGGGCAACCCCCACAGGAGCAATTTAGGGTGAAGTGTCTTGCCCAGGGACACAACGACATGCTGACTGCAGTGGGGTTTGAACCTGTGACCCCCTGACCCGAACACCAACGCACAACCCACTGCACCACACATCCTGCAACTTTACTGTTTTAGTTCAGTTTCATTCTTCTCATTAACTCACTGGTATATGCGGTTGGGCATTTAGCAGCTGGAAATACATTTCCATAAGGAGGTGGGGAACAAATCAGAACAAAACAATAAAAATGTTAAAGTTGATAATACTGTGTATATGTTTCTTTTACAGCTGGATCTGCTGCCCCTTACTGCACGTTTAAATCTTAGAATAGCAGGGACAAAATTAGGATTTGGTGCATATATAACATGCAATACATCAAAATCAACTAGGGCCCGACAAATTCAGTCCAGCGTCCCTGGGAATTGGGTTAATCTTGGATGGTACTGCGGCGCCACGTGTCCGGGGACAACACTCTGTGTCGGTGCAGGAGGGGCACTCCACATTCACAAGGGATTCCTGGCCTCATGCTGCCAATGTCCTGCAAAAAATAGATCGGCCCACCAATGTTCTTGTTATCCTATCACAGAGGTTGGTAACAACATCCCACCTGACAGGAAGGCGAGAGAGGAAAGAGAGAGAAAGAGATGGGTGAAAGAGAAAGGAAGACAGCAGCAAGACACAGAGAGATAAAAGAGACACTGAGTGAAAAGAGGCAGTGACAGAGAGAGGGTGAGGAAGAGCAGAGAATGTGAAAGCAACAAAGGGAGCGGGGTTGAGCTCCCAGAGGAGACAGTTTTTCTCACATATAGCACATAATGCTTGTTTTAGGCCACATTGGAATTGCCTGGAGATTCCCGAGCTCCATAATAAACTCTGGTCTCTTTATATTTGACTTTGGGAACACCTGCACCAAATAAGTTATTCTCTAACCCCATTCTGCTTATAATAAAAAGCTTGAAGTAGCAGACATACAGTATACTGTATGGCCCAGTATGTGATCCAAAAACACAATTTTCTCATAATAAAGTATTATTCTATTGTATAGTGTTTCATGACATGAATCTCATCTGATGGGTAACTCTGCTTTGGAAAAACCCAAATCAGAGATGTAAAACTCATTTGGTTGTTGCTGATGATGTTCTAAAAATAGTCTTAAACACCTTCCGTCCTTCAGCAGGAGCGAGCCCTTTGTTAGCCCACCCATGACCTTGGCTGGCTGCAGGAGCAACAGCAAGGTTGCCCCCTGAGAAAACAATAACTGTGCTCCCGGCTTGAATAATGCTCACAACAGTTCAGAGCACCAAATCTGAGTCATTCTTCACATCTCATACATGCATTCTGCCCTAGTAGGCTCATAAGCATCTTGGAACGTAGTTAGATTCATCGTCTTATTTGTTAGTGTTCACCGCATACAATACAAACAAAAAAATGAATGCATTTAGAGAGCGATTGAGCACAATAACTGAAGTGTCTCTTACATGCATTATTTCTCCTGAGGGTAGTGCTTGTACGTGTAGCAAGGGGTCTGTGAAGCTGAAAGAAGGGCAGGTTGGAATTTAAATGATTGATTTAGGCCAAGGCACCATTACTAAAATAAGAAATACTTCAACACCTAGAAGGGTAATGGGCAAATAAAACCTCCCCAGGGAGGCTAAAAATAGCTCACTCAATTGTTTCATCTGAATATAAATGACTTTCATCCTGCTTCAAGCATTTCCTCTACAAAGAGGTTATTTATTTTAGAGTCAACAGGAGTAGTTCGTGAGGAAAGAAATAGCAACACTGCATGACATTTGAAATGAGACAGCATTTTTATTTGCAAGAAAGAAATGTAACTTACAGAAGCTTATTCTTAACTTATTACATATATTGAAGTTTAAATAATTAATATTAATTAAACATTTGAACCAAAAAGGCAATTAAATAATCTCAATTTCATCAATTAAACTTAGTTACTCATGCTGTGTTCCTGCTGTGGCCTGAAATCAAATCCTTCCACTCTGCATTGAGCGATATCAGGCAACTGCAAATGGCCCCTAATATTGCCATGGTGATTTGAATAAACAAAGAGATTGGACCATTCAGCGTTAACTAACACCAGAAACAAATATCAGATTGCAGAGCAACTTGGCTAATTGGGTATGTGTTTTGAATTAGACTTCAATCAGTGTTTCCCACACTGAATCTGCATTTACTTCATGTTCTGATCCCCGCATGTGAGCTGCAGGACTCCAAATCGCTTCGCTTATGCTCAGATATCAAAAGCAATTAAAACGTTTTTATTTTTTCACAGTCGCATTGTGTTTCATAACGCTCTCAAAAGCTCATTATCTATGACTGTGATGTTGACATTGATTACTCAATACAAAAATGTCCCTAAAAGTGAAATGTGAAGACAGTAGGTTTTTCTAAATAAAAAACAATTTTAAAATGAGTTTCTGCCACCAATGGTGTATTTATATCTGAAGCCACTTTGGAACAACTTAGACTTTTCATGGGTACATGGGCCTCTCTGACCCATGTGGAGACCCCCTCCCTTCGGATCAAGGCAAGGTCCTTATATAGGTCACCCTTCATCGCCACATAGTCTGCCAAGCTTGTCTCAGTGCTAAGCCATATTTCTCACCTTACCCAATTAATTAGTCATTAGGCACAGTTTCTTTTTTCAGAGCTGTCATTGATCGCTCACTAATGATAGAGTTACAGGCCGAGGCCGCTGCTTAAGAGGCCTCTCAGACAAGAGACAAAGTTGGTGTGTGTCTATACGCGAGTGCATATCTGCAAGTTAACGTGACTATGCAATTGGTGCCTGTAATAGATTGTGTGACAGGGAGGGGTCGAGAGAGGAGAGAAATAGAAACAGAATTGGAGCAGGAACAAGGGCATCCCTTAAAGAACAGCCTGCAGAGACTTTGTCCTACATTCCTCTATATGTTTTGCATAGGAGCACAGAGGAGGAAAAAGAAGGGATGAAGGATGAGCCAAGGTATTAAAGCAGATTCAGATGTGGGCGGGAGAGGACGCAGTATCCTCCCATTGAAAATGTCACGAAAATAGCATCCGTTTGGCAAGTGAAGTCTACTGCAGAGGAACAGAAAAGGCAGAGGCTTATCATACATTATTTGATGCGCAGGACTGTGGTAAACAACTACTTTCTCAAAACAAACAGATGGACGGTCATTCTCAGCAAAGCCACATACTAAATCCAATTAATTCCAAAAACAGGCCTCTTGACGACATCACCGTTGCCAAGTCAATGACTACATATCTTTGTGCTCAACTAGGGAAGCAAATGATCAGTGTTCTCTCTTAAAACTCTTTCTACCTGCTTCCACAAAAGGCTCTGCAGTGTCTTTCTGTGGGTCTTTGCGGCAGGATACTGGCCAACAGAGTGCCTGCTAGGAAAGCCCTACATAACTGCAGCAGTAGGAATGAAACAGTTCCTGGGAGACTGGCGACCAGATAGGTACGCTGTTCTTCAGGATTTTGTGTGTGCATGTTTTTGTGTCCTTGCCCCAGGGGCCTATACCCTGCTTCACTGAAGAAGACATAAAAGCACATCGTGCCTCCCCGGGTCCAACCCACATGCACTTAGTCCACCACATGACTCTTTTATCTGTCACGACAGAGTCTCCACCAGAATCCTTCCCATTAATGTTGCCTTTTTAACAGACGATTTCTGAAAGACGTTCTCTTCATCCAATGGTCAAAATTGTCAATTTGACCATAAACCATTGAGCCTGAATAGTTAATGAGTCTCTACCACAAGACTGTAAATATTTGGTAGAGTAATTATTACCATTAAAACGATATAAATCTGCGCTCATTGATTTCTTTCAGTCATTAACATTTAGATCTGTACAACTGTAGATCATTTTTAGTACCTGTGAATGGGGGTATGAATATAAATAGAGATTTATGCAGCCCCTTTAACACCTAAGGTGATAGCCAGAGAAAGAGCTTTTGTCAATATGTGTGTCCTTGTGCAAAATGTTTTTAAAGAAAATTGACCTAAAAAAGTAAAACTTTTGATTTTGAAACATATTTAAGATCCAACCCTTTGCTTTACTGGACCCTTGTTGTTACACTAAATCAGTGTTTACTTTTGACAGCTGGTGTGGACGAAACATGATAATTGAAAACCATTTGATGGCCCATATAAAACATCTTGAGTTTTTTCGCATTACATTTTACAGTACTTAAAATACATTGTGGCAGACATAAATACAGGCCTTTTTCAGGCGACAAATATAGTGTCATGTCGGCTTTATGACATGTAACAATGGGTGTAGAGCACATAAGAGGTTACAGCTGTTGTAGTAAATGTATAACACTAGCCTGGCCCTGTTAAGGATGCTGAAGCCCCCTGATTTGTGTCAACCTTCTCTGGGTTGATCAGCAGCCCCCCAGAGAGGATGGCACACTCAAGTGACAAGCTTGAGCTAATCACGGTGATGAGTAGAGAAGGCCTCGGCTTAATGGGAGCACGGGGAGATCAGGGTAATGCCTTAGGGAAGTCGATTTTCATAGGAATACACGTAAAAACTTGCATAACATACCGGATGAAATGAGGATATACAGTGGGAGAAACTAAAGCTCTGCAGTCAGTGCTTTAATTATTCTCCTTTTGTGCCCTGCAGGTTTGATGTTATGGCATGATACATCTCTGAAACCTTGTGCTTTCTACCTTCCTAACCCTGGTGTGTGTTTCTAGTTGATAGCTTAACATGTTTTCATGTCTGTCAATGAAAGCATGCTCAAGAGTCATGTTAGCCTGGTGATAATGCCAAAGTAATACTAGACCTCATCTCAGGGGATCAGTTACGGATGCATTATAACCTTCACATAGGGGAAGAGATCAATGCAGTGCAGAATTTAAAATATGTATATCCAATCTAGGTCCAATGTTTCAATGCCTTTCAGTCAGGTAACTTGAGGGATTTTTTTTGTATGCATCACTAACCAGAACATTACACATGTGAAAGCATGTTGCAAGCTCATTTCTTTTGATGACATATTGGAGGTTTAATTTCACCCTGACTGAATAAATGCATGTTGCCTGAACCCCATCCATTCTCTGTGGCTGCTTTTTGTGTAGGATGTTAAAGATTTACTGACCATATATCGCTTAATGTGCATGCTTAGTCATAATCTGGTTATTATAGGAGCTTATAAATGTGTATAAGTAGCAAAGACTGTGTGTCTTCTGATCTACTTTTTTTGCAAAAAATACTCAAGAGGTAGAGAGGGGGGAAAAAGGGGGAAAGATAGACGGATATGAAAATATATATAAATATGTAGAGGTAAGTAAATCTTTTTCTCCTGAGGTATAAATGGGAAGCCAGATTCATGCCATGAATAATTTCCGACTGCTGCCAAGATAAGACTGTATAAAATGGATTGCAATTTGGATTTACCTATTTTGAGAATTTTGTAACCCTCTCTTAGACTCTGCATTAGCTCTTGGACATAATTTCAAAGTTCAAAGATAGCTTTTACTCAAAGATAACATCCTGCACGACAGTTAACAGAGAATGAATACTAGAAAAAGAATGATACAGTAACATGGTCAATATGTTCTGGTCCCTTTCTAGTCAACCATCCACAACCTCAGGGGCCACAGACCACTTTAAGTTTTATTTTGGTTAAGTTTTGCATGAAATATTGATTAGTCTAAAAGGCACGGAGAGTTTCTTTGTCTGGCATAGTGAAACAACATCAGTTATTTCATTACCAGAGGCACATTCAACAAATGATACATAATTGGAAACAGTAAATTGCCACTTTTGCTTTGATTTAAAACCATTGAACTCTGAATTATGGTGATCCAAAAACTAAAAGAACTGTTGACTACAGACACTGCCTTCACTGCTTACTGAAGGCAGGAAGTGTAGAATTTCTGTCAAATACGGTATTAGTATACATGATTAGCCCCATAAACTAACTGAGACTGGGAGAGTGTTTGTTTTGAGAAAATAAACTAAATAATATATAGAACTTGTATATTTCAGAGTACATGTCTTTGTTTTGAATACCACGTTAAAATATCATTCCTGTTCACATGAAGCACTCACCATATTACACCATCAATCAAAGTGAATTAGGTTGTCTTTTGCTGCACCTGTTAGCTGCTGTTTTTCTTTACCAGACATCTCACCAGTATGGTCTGATAACGGTACTTAGTGCCAGGGTGAATTAGTCAATATCTCTACCAGACAGAAACGGACCAGACAATAAAATATTCATACATTTAAAACTCTCCTTTTCAAAAGGTACAGTTTGGGTCTGGAAAAAGTGAAAGTAGCTGCAGTGATTATCGGAAAGATGCCAGGCCTGCAATCGGTCTCTGGGTGGCTGCCAACCAGGAATACGCATAAACTGACAACACACACACTCACTTACTTACTTACACACAGAACCAGTGCCCAACACATACACTATCTGCCTGTCTCTGTTACCATGGAAACTGACAGGCCTTCCATTGAAATATCCTCTGATGCAGATGTGAGTGTGTGGGTGTGTGTGTACTCTGTGTGTGCACCACGGTTTGTGTGATTATGTTCATTTGCATTTCAGAGATTGCAGAGTTTGGAAGTGAGTAAGGACACATGTGCTCATATCACTCAGAAACTGTATGTGGGGTAACATTAATGCTTCCAACAAATATGTTTATCTTTATCAATATTTCACACTGCTGGAGCATGTGTGAAGTGTAAACTTATTTTAGGAAATGTTTTATGAAATTGAAACTTACTCTGATGAGTCTATGAAGTATATTCCGAGGGCCCCGATGCTGAGCGCAAAGACCAACACCACCTGAGGAGAGAAAAGCACAGACGAAAGGGAAATTACTTTTATGCATTGAGTGGAAAAGGTCATATAACTCTGCTCATTTATGTACTGTATAGTAAACAAAGTATTCAGTTGGGGCGAACACAATATGCAACACTAGGTTCAGTATCTGTAATTATACAGTGACTTGCCTCCTGTGGGTTGCAGAACATTTTAAAAAACATGCGCTGAATAATGAATGCTCTACCTCATGTCAGTGCAGCTTATTAAATACACGCAGAGTCAAGCTTGTACAATCACAGGAAGTAAAGAAAGGATATACATGTGTAAGCTCTAGTGCACAGAAGAGTAGTAACAATGTGTCGGGGTGATGAGAGGAAGTACTTAGACAGGACCACAGTTATCAGGTGTTGACATGCACTCCTCAACCACTACAGTGAGTCAGTGTTTGCATTGTGGGAGATTGTGGCCCTGCTGAACTGTGGTCTGTATAATGTTTCATGGACTATATATGACCAGGAAGATGGGGCACCTTGTGGTCCTGTAAGCAACACCTGAGCCTTTCATCTAAAGGTTATTTAATCTTGTAAAGAGACCAACACCCTATAGTGTTTAAATGATTTAGAAATATGTGCAATTATTACACTGGTTTGTGAATGTATTTTGATTAATGTAAATCAAACCAGGCTATGAATTGCACAAGTATTACACAACTTTTAGTTTGTGTAAAACAAATAAATTAAAAAGTTTAAATTAGAAGTCAATACAAAAAGCTTTGTTGATGGATAATGCTGTTAAAATGAGGTTCTGTTTAAAGTACGTTTAAGCTTCCTCTGGCAAAAAAGGGCCACAAGAAAATGTGCGTCAAAAGAATTCTTCATTAAACTGCACTTGTAAATATTAGAGTTGTCATCACTATTAGAGCTGCTTAGTAGAGTACATGGATTAGTCTATCAATAGAAACATCTCCACATTTTGATTCATGTAAATGATCATGCAATAATGGCAGAATGGCATATTCAGCCAATCAAATGTGGAGATTTCTTGCCTTTTTCCATTTTATATCTCATGAAACTGTAAATCGTTGGTTTTTGGACTATAAAACCAAACATCTAAAAGCATCACCTTAGAGCCTAAAAATTCGATGTACATTTTATAGACCTTAAATTAATATTCTAGAAAGAAATCTGCAGATTAATCAATAGTGGAAATAATCTTTAGCCGCAGCTCTATTCACCATCACTACTGTTATCATAATCATCATCTTCGCAACAGCTGACCAACGTAACCATGCACAATGGATTCTGCCCTGCGGTTTCCTTCTCCCATTCAGCCGTCTCACAATAGGAGCCCAATGTCCCTGCTGATTGTGCCATTCATTATTGATGATGGAAGCTTGATTACTTTCATGTGATGGTCCTTTGGATTGATCCTTTGCATTGTGGCTGAGGTATTAAGGAAACACCCCCGATCACCATGCATTTTTAATGATTTGCTGCTTGAATGGAACATGACGGCGATCCTGGCCACAGAGTTGCCCAGACCTTACAATTCAAAGACATCCGTGATTCACAGAGGAGGTGGGCGAATTGCTTTAGCTAAAACTCTATAAGAAAATCTTTTCTTTTTTTTATAGAAAGCACTGATAAAAGGCCTTACCTCATCCAAAAGTGGCATGGTATGATTAGTTAGTATTTAGCAGGTGCAAGGTGAAGGCCAAACTTGTTAAAGTCTTCAAGTATTAAATGTATTCAGGAGTGTGGGTGGAGTTGCTTAACCTTTATAGCCCACTATTAACCTCTGCTTCAGACTAGCGCGTGGGGGTTATATTAGAAACAACTAGCATAGCAAACTCAAACCTTTAAACAACCTGATAAGGGTTCATTTAGCATTTTGGGCAATGCACGGGTAAAAAAACAGCTTTTGACAAAAATATCTGGTTGTGCTGCAACCGTAATGACAATTTATTAATGTAAGTAATTCCATTAAAAAAACATATCCAGAGACTTAAAAAGACAAAAAATGAAAAGATGGCTGTTTATGTGAAAGATGAGTCTATCAGCCCCCCAACACTGAGAAGCATTTAAAGCTTTGTGCTTTGATGCATGCATAGTAGATATAGATGCATACACTGACGTTTCATCAGAGCTAGATTCTGCTTCTTCTGTTTACAGAAGTTGCATGGTCATAAGGATTAAGGAGGAGGAGGGAAAGGGAGACAGAGAGGATGGTAAGGAGTGGTGGAGAAGTATGGCTGAGCAGTGGTTGGTTGCTGGAAAGCTGAACACCCAGCGATGAGCTGAGTTGATAAGAAACGTCATGATCTTAAACTGACCCAGTTATTCAGCCGTAAAAGCCCATCCATCCCCCAACCCTTTTTCACACACACAATGTCTACGAGGGCTAGCTGTCGACCTCAAACACACAATCTACCAAAGACAACCAACCGAGCCACCGCCAGTGCACATCAGGACCAATGTACTAACACTCAGGGCGAACCTACGAGAATAGGAATGGAAGGGGCATTCCCTCCGCCTACAAAAGAAAATACATTTAAAAAAGGATTGCTAAGTGTAGCTGACTCTGCATCTGTAGTAGTCGTTAATGACTTAATCTGACTAAATTCATAGGCAGATTTAATTATTTCACATGTGATTAGATGACATGACTGTCACATAAGACAAAGTGGCCGGTATCAAGTCAGAGGAGCAGCGACCGGACATGATGTCTTTGTTTTGTCGTTAATAGTCGTGTAGGTTTTCATCAGTGTATTCCTTTCTAAATTTAAAGTGCAAAGCTAAATATGTCAGATGTTTTCCGAGGTGCACTTCACTGGCTTTACTGTAAGACTATCTACCTTGTGTGTGTTTGTGTGTGTTGCACTTCAATGTGTGCTGGTTTCAAGTTCTAGTATTGCAAGAAGGCTAAATGTAGCAGCGCTCACATGACACCGTTAACACATAATAAAAGTAACTAGAATGTATAAACACACGTGCGTGTCTTACTTTCTCAGTGTATTTGGCAGTCTAAAGATTTTTCTAGCGCTCATCACGGCTTACCCATTGAAGAAATATGAAGTGTCCTAAAACTGAGGCACGATTCCACACAAGATTTATTCCTGCAACAGGGATTCTTTCTAATGACTTCCTTTGACTCTTAAGTGGCATGTGACAGGGACAGAGCAGAGTCTTACAGACAGGTGATGGGGGGCTGACAACGTACGGCATAATCGCTTCACATTAGGGCCAACTACCCAGGTCAACGAGCAGTGACTCAAAGCCTCCTGCTTCCTCTGCATTTCAGTCAGACCAGTCTCTTTGTTGAGTATACACACCTAGATCAAGTGGACAGGGTTAGAAATAATATATTATATTATAATGTATGTAAATTCATTTAGGATAGCTGTTATTAAATACTGTAGTTAACGCATGGGAACGTTTTTGGGCTAATTCCTGTGAACAAAAACACCTGCAAAATCATGGTCCATGTTGCTATAATCATTCATCTAGAAAAGCCTCACAGGTTGACTGTTCGCCGTTTCCATTAAAGCCTTACACCAGGGCTATTCAACTAAACATTCAGTTGGGCCAGATTTTATAACTACAAAATTCAGCTGGGCCAGACATTCAGCGGCCTGTAAAAAGCGGGTAGTGACACATTAAACCAACACATATTACTGCGATGAAAAACATGCAATTTTTATTAATTGTTCATCTAACAAAGGTAGGTCAAAAAGTGCATAAAAACACAACAAATTAGCATTAATTTAACAGAATCTGAAAAAAAAGTGCACAGTTGTAGCATTACATTTTTTTGCTTTAGAAGTCAAATATTCAGGTTATTTTTTTTGAACCAGGCACATCACAAAGTGCATTTACTGAATACAATAATAGCAGTCTTAATAAATGTCCTCACATACAAAAAAAAACAGCTAAAGAGCTCCAATGCAACACAAAGAGGTAGTACTGTAGCAATACTATTTTTTCACTTTTCATGTAATAGCAAAAAACTCATACGTTTTGGTCACATTTGACCCAGACACATTACAAAGTGCATTTAAATGAATACAGAAAGAACTGTCAAACCCTTCAGTGCACAAACCCATAACAAGGGATACGGGTAACTATATGAATGAATACTACACTACACGTCTACTATAGTAAACTAGGTGCTTACTATCACCTCATTTGTGATTTGTCATCGCTGACTTTCTCAATGGGAGAAGGGACATTTTTNCACAATTCTTCACATCAAATGCCTGTGCTGTACCACATGGCCCCCCAGCCTAAAGCTTGCTCACACACACACACACACACACACACACACACATGAATATGAACCGTCCCCACACCTAAATGGACTGGTCGCTCACTTCCATATCTACCTGACTGCACCTTAGGAGCACTGAGAGGCAAATTCTCTTAATATGCTTTGCCTAAGAAGTCCTTGAAAAGCAGCTTGTGGGGGAGCAGAGAGAATATTTAGCATTTATTTTAAAAGGATGACGCCTACAACCCCAGAATGAGAATAAACCAGCAGGTGATCTGTATGTAAAACTGTGAACTACTTAAGTAAAGTAGGAGGAAACGAGAACCTTTGATTTTTAAAGCCTTTTAGAGTATAAACAACAACCTCTCCTGAGACCAATCTGACTTGCAGCAAAGCAAGTTCATCAGAGAAAACTGTGAATGATGTACATAAATCAACACGCCCACAAAGACACAAAAACAAGAAAACAAGGAGTGTGTGTGTGAGTGTGTGTGTGCGTGAGAAGATGAGAGGATTATCAACACACAGTTAATCTCTTTATTCCACTCAAATCTACATGGCTTTATAAAAAAGAAACACCCTAACTCTCTGAGTGGCGGCACACACACAATGATCACCGTCATCAAACAAGATGGAGGAAACACATCCTAACAGGTGTAAATTGCAACTAACACACACACACACACACACACACACACACACACACACACACACACACACACACACACACACACACACACACACACACACACACACACACACACACACACACACACACGTGCATTCTGTACAGTATGGACATGACATGTACATGGGAAACACATTCTTCCACACCCGAGCACACGCACTTTCACTTTTATACTCTCATGTTTCTCGTAAACATCACCCTCTCTCTCCGTCACACACACAATGTTGTTCCAGCTGTGCAGCCAGTCCAACTACAGTATAGAATAAACACACACACACACACACACACACACACACACACACACACACACACACACACACACACACACACACACAGACACACACACACACACTGTACAGGCTCCCTCAGGGCAGATCCTCAGTGTATAAATCAGCGGGGTGGGGAGTGAGCCTGACTCCAGCTGAGGGGAGGTCCAGAGCACATTTATCACCTCAGAAACAAAAACAGTCATTACGAAGGGACAGAATCACTAAACACTCTCACATATGAAATGAGGAAACCTCAGCCTGAGCCTCCTGACAGCGAGTCTCTCTCTCTCTCTCTCTCTCTCTCTCTCTCTCTCTCTCTCTCTCTGCTGTTGTTGTGAACCCCGGTCTGAGTGTGTGCCCTCTGGCAGGGCTACACGCCACAGAGATTTATCGCGCAGCATACCAACGGTTTACCTGGATTTATCCTCCAACTAGCGGAGAGCTCTCCCTCGAAATAATATCCTGCCAAGAACAACTTCTGCTGAGCGCCGCAGACAACGGCCAGACCTGCTGCTCCATTAGCACAGAAGCATAAAGAAAAACACTTTTCATAAAGCCTAATCATGAAAAACAGGTCCCTTAACTGACATATAATTGGCTAGGACATATTATTCTCATTTTCAGGTGTATATCAGTATGTAGTGTCTCTACTTTAAAGAGTCCTCTCCTGCTGATGTTCAGGTGTATATCAGTATGTAGCTCTACTTTAAAGAGTCCTCTCCTGCTGATGTTCAGGTGTATATCAGTATGTAGTGTCTCTACTTTAAAGAGTCCTCTCCTGCTGATGTTCAGGTGTATATCATATATATCAGTATGTAGTGTCTCTACTTTAAAGAGTCATCTCCTGCTGATGTTCAGGTGTATATCAGTATGTAGTGTCTCTACTTTAAAGAGTCCTCTCCTCCTGATGTGCAGGTGTATATCAGTATGTAGTGTCTCTACTTTAAAGAGTCCTCTCCTGCTGATGTCTCTACTTTAAAGAGTCCTCTCCTGCCAGGAGAGGACTCTTTAAAGTAGAGACATCAGCAGGAGAGGACTCTTTAAAGTAGAGACACTACATACTGATATACACCTGCACATCAGGAGGAGAGGANACTTTGATTAATTTTAGATCTTAAAAGTCAGTTCACCTCCATTTCTTAAAACCTTTCCTCATCCTGTGCTTATCTCCGTAACACATAGTGACATCACAATGTAACAATCATGCTTCTATTGGCATACTGATATACACCTGAACATCAGGAGGAGAGGACTCTTTAAAGTAGAGACACTACATACTGAAATACACCTGCACATCAGCAGGAGAGGACTCTTTAAAGTAGAGACACTACATACTGATATACACCTGAACATCAGCAGGAGAGGACTCTTTAAAGTAGAGACACTACATACTGATATACACCTGAACATCAGCAGGAGAGGACTCTTTAAAGTAGAGACACTACATACTGATATACACCTGAACATCAGCAGGAGAGGACTCTTTAAAGTAGAGACACTACATACTGATATACACCTGAACATCAGCAGGAGAGGACTCTTTAAAGTAGAGACACTACATACTGATATACACCTGAACATCAGCAGGAGAGGACTCTTTAAAGTAGAGCCACTGCATACTGATACACACCTGAACATCAGCAGGAGAGGACTCTTTAAAGTAGAGACACTACATACTGATATACACCTGAATATCAGCAGGAGAGGACTCTTTAAAGTAGACANCTCTACATGTCTCCATGCTTTAATGTTCAAAAAGCTCTTTATTTTTCTCATACTGCCTGTGCTGCAGCACCTCTTTTCACCCTCTGTCTGAAACCAGAGCCCAGTCTGCTCTGATTGGTTAGCTGGCCGGCTCTGTTGTGATTGGTCAACAGCTTAGAGATGTCCCGGCCCTTAGCCTATATCGTACAATGTGTTGGAGCGCTAGCCAATAGATGCGCTAGTGTTATATTGTGATGTCATTATGTTACGGAGGTAAACACAGGACGAGGAAAGGTTTTAAGAAATGGAGGTGAACTGACTTTTAAGATATCTAATTAATCAAAGTGTCCCAATTGGCAGCATGATAGTATCTCTAATTTCCTGGTGGCATTTGGGTTATTTTAGGACATTTAGAGAGCCACAGAAAACATTGCTTTAAGTCGTGTTCACTACTTTTAATAAACTGAACTTCATGCGTAACATCAGCAAAAATAGGTTGAATAAAAACTAGCTTGGAACACAACCTAGAAATAACCTTGGCTCGTTATGCTGTTGCTTTTTGTACAAGCAAGAAAAACACGTTAGTTCTTTTTGTAGTGAAGACATTACGTTTGTTGTATGCTTTAGTTGGTTTCACTTGCATCATTCCTCTGCACTATTTTTGATATCCTTTGATGTGTTAAGTATATTGCATGTTGCATTGTTGGAGGAGCCGTAGCTGTTGTTCAGGTAACAATAAAGCCTTTGAATCTACATTTCATGTAAATGTTTCATTGCCACTCTCCTGCCTCCTTACCTTCTTCTATCTGGGTGTACGGGGGAGTTGAACAGGCGTTCAGGGAGACGACTCGTTGGGCTTTGTTCCCTGAAAGCTGTACACAGATTTTGAGTTCCTGCCACCAGTGTGTAATGGAGGTGGAGACGGGCAGGGTTTCCTGCAGCGCTGTTGCGGGGTGGAGGTTAATCACAGTGAATGTGGGGGAATGTGTCAAGCCGTGTTCAGCCACTCAACTTTGATAGAACAAACTTGAGCTAAAATGCTATCACGTAAATATCGATGCCCATAAATCGTCTGTGCGTGTGTGGAGTAGAAGAAGTGTCCTGCAACATCAACCAGGCATACGTGTGATATATTGTTTGTTAAACACCATACTTCAAATTACAACTATCATGGTAGCAACAAGTACGTATCTTGCCAAGAATAATACAAGTGTTATTTAGTTTGTTTTGGTAAATCAGACTGGTTTTGGGGGCTAGGCTAACCCTAACCCTTTTTACTTCAAAACTCATAAGGTGGTGTTAATACTGTACGTGGACATTATACTACTAAAAAACATTTTCTGCAATATTCCAAAATCCAATGGAAAAATCCTATTGGCCTGTTGTCGAGGCGACCAGGAAGATGCTAACTTTTGGGTCAGCCTACAAAAATAGGTTACGCTTGAAACACTCAATTGTTGTTATTGTGATGGAAATTCACGCTGGCGTTGCAGAGATGTCAACAAGGTCATGACGTGGCTCATCTAGTTGGTGGAAAGGAAATCTGGTTTCTTAGTGGTTTGCAAGTGGAACCAACTGCGAACCAAACTAGCCAAGGAAAATACTAGAAAAGGGGTAACACCCCCCCCACACACACACACACACACACACACACACTCCAACAGGGCCTCAACTCAGTCTCCAAATCACTTAAAGTGTTGCTGTGCTGCGACACCTGAGCCTCGTGCTGATCCTGTTTGTGTGAATGAGATTACAGATATCCCGGGTCACATCACCAGAGATTACTGATTGCATTGATTTGATCAGATTAAAGAATATACACCATATGCATAAACATCTCCCCCACATTTAGAAGATAAAATAAAACAATCTTATCTTGCTCTCCCTCAGAAAGTCCAGATGATGTTTCGTGACTCACTCTGATCCCGCCTCCAGTCAAACTGTCTGATCTGATACTTCTGCACATTCACACTCATAAAAACTGTTATATTTAATGTATTAAATACCCTTTTTCTCTCACACACAAACACATCCTGGTGATAAGTATCTGTCAGTGATTTGACATGCATGCAAGGCAAAATCTCAGTCACTATTCACAGTTTGAAATAGTGGCTAGTGCCGAATGAAGCACATTTTTTAATTCGGCTCCACATCTGCTCTCATGTTTCTTTTTCACTTTGATTCTGGTTGCATCATGGCACAGCATGCATCAAGGAGCTCAAAAGATACCCAGTGAAACCTGAGCATACCGGTCTGTGGTGCAAAATCCATCCATTAAAAGCTACTTGCATATAATAGGTGTCGTATAAAACAAAACAAGAAGTGTAGGCTATACGTAGTTATTGATTTTAAAACAAACCATAATCAGCAGTTCACGGACATTTCTGCAGCAGCAGGATCATTTTCTGTCCTCATGCTGCCCCCTTCTGGAGAGAGGCTGTCATTAAATCTGTGCTCAGATCATATCAAAGTACATTTACTCATTCACTAACTTAAGTAAAATGTTGAGGTACTTGTACTTTACTTGAGTATTTCAATTTGTTGCTACTGTGTACTTCTACTACACTACAATTCAGATGTAAATGGTGTACGTTCACTCCACTACATGTATTTAATACCTTTAGTTACTTCACAGATCTGGATGAATGATGTGAAATATAATCAAGTCTTAACCCCTTGTATAGTGATCGGGTCTGTGGGACCCGTTTTCATTATTTAGGTATAGAAAAAGGATATCATCAACTATGTTTTCGAACTCACACTCAATGGCCTTGGCTCATTTTCTGTGAAGAACATATATCAGAACATTACATACAGGGTAAACGGGTGGAAGATGTAGGTCCTGGGTCCTTGTATGGGCCTTTTGTGTGTGTGTGTGTGTGTGTGTGTGTGTGTGTGTGTGTGTGTGTGTGTGTGTGTGTGTGTGTGTGTGTGTGTGTGTGTGTGTGCCTGCGTGTGTGTCTGCGTGACACTTTATGTGTGTGGTAATAAGATCGCAGTTTTGTAGTTTGAAACATTTTTTTATTATTGTTTTTTTTAACTTTTCATCATCTAATATCTTATCAAAAACATTTGCACATATAAAATTCGTACACGAAGAGTTTTTCTTGTTTTCTTCCCAAAGATTACCAACATACAAAATATAACAGAGAGGCTTGCTGCTAAGAATACAATATGTTTCTAAGTAATACAAATAAAAATAAGTACTGGCGTAGGCTAATACAAAACGATAGCATATTAAACTGGAATCAAAGCGAGGACATATCATTTAAAAAATGCACCATTTCGTTATTTAAAAGAGGGTCATTTGGAAACCTCTCGGTGCTAAAAACAAACAACAAAAGCTTCAGAAAGTCGTGTTTATTAAAACCCTGTAACCCTGAGGAAACACTTTGGATTTACAGTCAGCGTCGTGCATTTAAAAACCTCCAACTCCAATTTATTTATTTCTTGTGCGTGAAGATGTATGAGTTTCCCCCGCAAAATAAAAACAAGTGAATTCACCTTTGGAGATAATCTGCACGATATGGCTTCTTATCCTACAAACATTGCATTGTTTTTGGATGTTTCTGTACAAAGTAAAACATTATTTGACGAACTTCACTGCAAGTCAGCCACTATGTCAATGTGTTTCTCCTTTAAGCGCCAAACAACATTTTGGTAATGTGCATTTTCATAAGTTAGGCTATTTTCTCTTTTAGGTAGCTATTATAAAAAAACCCTGTAATATGTTTACCCTGTGGAAATAAAACCCTGTTTTCTCCAAAAGACTCTCCAACCAACCATGGCACCGTTCACCCCTACAAACCGGAAGTCTAAAAATGTGAGACCACTGGAGGTTAGCTAACCTAAAGACTCAATTAATTAAATATCAGACTACAATTAGATGCATTCTTTTCATAACATCATATTTATCAACATTTAAAAGTTGGAATATAAAGCAAATTTGTAAACCCCTATAGACGGATATCCTGCTTTAAAGCACCCTGGATCCGTTTAGCATTTGCAGTTTTGGAGAGCTAATGCGCCAAACATACCGTTTGAATAGCATTTGGTAACAGAACATGTACACTTTAAAAAATATTGACAGAAAGAACGTCTTGAATCAGAACATTTAGTCAAACGGAGGATATGTACACGAGAAACACATTAGCTTGTTTTTGTGGATCTGAATGCACTTTTACGCGCATTTCCTTCCTCAAATGTCAGTTCTGTATGCTTGAGATTTGTTGACGTCTTTTCATACAAATAGCATTCTCGTATTGTTTACATGTCCTCGATTGCAATTCCTTTGAACTGCAAACAACATTCGGTCAACTGTAGAAGTGTGAAGCAAAAAATAACCGCATGAAAGAGATTTCAAAAGAATCATAATGGTGGATAAATATGTACCCACATTTCTCTCCTGTCTTCAGGCGGTCTTCGACGCCTTTGCGGTACTATCACTGTTGTTGTTGTTGTTATTAGTGTCATTAGTGTTGTTGTTATTGATTTCCGCCGCCTTCTTGTTCTTGCTCCGTCCTTTGGTGTTGGGTAGCTTGTTGTCCTTCTTCCAGCGCATACGCCGGTTCTGGAACCACACCTTTACCTGCCGCTCGCTCAGACAGAGCACGTGGGCCACCTCCACACGGCGGCGGCGCGTTAGGTACCGACTGAAGTGGAACTCCTTCTCGAGCTCCAACACCTGCTGGCGCGTGTAGGCCGTGCGCATGCGCTTTGGATCCGGGCCCGTGTGGTTGGGATTAACTGCAAATAAAACATAATGAAAAAAATACATTAATAATAATACAACAAAAATTATTATAATGATATGCTTTGTATTATTAATATTATTTGTATCATCAAGATTATTTGTATTATTACAAATACAACATAATTATAATTATAAAAACAGGGAAAGACAATTAAGGCCAGATATTGTTTATTATATTTCATTACATCTATTAAATATAAGAGTATAAATGAATTACAATATAAAAAATTAAGACGGGGGAAAATAATTAGAGTAAAATAATTTAATCCCGTTTTTTTTATTCAATCGTTTTCTTTTATTTAAAAAAATATATAACCTACAGACAAGCATTTTAAAATGATATTTAAAAACAATTTAAATATATTGCAGGTGTTATCATGTGGTCAATGTTGAGTGTGTTCATCTTTATTTGTGGTTGACTGGCAAGACGTCCAAGAAACGAGCCTTACTTTTAATTTGCTGCTCTTTGTACAACCGCAGCGTACACACACACGCACACGCACACACACACACACACACACACACACACACACACACACACACACACACACACACACACACACACACTCGCGCGCACTGTGGCAGGGCCATAAAACTTTATAGGGGTTGTAATTCTCTCTGACTCTCACTGAGATCATAAATAACTCGACAACAAAAACGGTGCTCACAAATGGACACTAGAACACAAGAAAGAGAGACAGAGAAAGAGACAGAAAGAGAGACAGAGAAAGAGACAGAAAGAAAGACAGAGAAAGAAAGACAGAGAAAGAAAGAGCTAGCAGACAAAACAAAACGTAAACATGGCCTGAGCTCTGTGCCTTCACAACCTCATCTGTTTACATCTCTCATATTTATTTATTATTACAATAAGCAGTATTTAATTTCAGTGTACAGTATTTCATTTGACATATTTTAAACTCATCTTATTCTACTTTACTTGCATATATTCCCTTCTCCTGCATCCTGCACGATCTCTTTCACTCTTTTCTTACTGTGTTTCTTCTTGCACTTCTATTGCCTTATTTATTCGTTTTATCGTTTTATGCCATATATTTATGTTGCATTGTTGAGGAGCCTGGGACTTAAGATGTATATTGCCATAACACTGTAGCTACTGTGCATATGACAATAAACCATTTGAATATAATTGGACTGAGGGAAACTGATACAGAGAGGATGACGAGAGGGTTAATTGGAGATAGAAAGATCGAGGCTGTATCTCACCATGAGCGATGTGCACTTTCTTCATCCACGGGTAGACAACAATAGGCGGCTTGTCCTTCCCCTGGCAGGCCGTTTTCCTCTGCACCTGAGCGGGTTTTGTACAGGTCATCCAGGCCTGGCACTGCAGCTCCCCCACCGAGAACCGGGCCTCCTTCCCGGGCACCTCTGCCTCCCTGTAGCCGGTGCGTAATGGCGCACCTTGGTGCAGCGCCTGGTCCTCTCCATCCTCCCGGCGGCGCCCCTGCAGAGAGTGATAACCGGGTTGTTGTGGTGTGTATGTTGGATGATATGTTCCTCCATAACTCCCACTGTCCTGAGGGTTGTTGTAATACCCCCCTTGCTCACTAAAATTACTGTAATCTTCTTCACAAGGCGGGAACTGCGGCTCAGCGTATTTACAGCTCACCACGTAGGACTCCATGATTGATTTATAGCGAGGCTGGTAGGAGAATACTAATTTTTCTTTCTCTCCCCTCTCTCTGTCTCTTTCTCCCCCCTCTGGCATCCAGCCATCCTGCGGCTGTCAAATAGACGGACGGCCGCGCGGGACACGTGACCCCGCGGCCAGCCAATCAGAGGGGGCCCTGCGGGTTGTTTATGTCAGACGTAATGGGATAATTTGAAGTAAAAAAATAAAATGTTCATTACGGGACTAATGAAGCTATGCTGGCAGAGAGGAATGGTTAAGATGAGATGTTTAAGGAATGGGAGAAATAGCTTTTAAAAGAATCCTATTTCTTATATTTCAATTTCTTCTTGCACTTTTAAAAAAAAATTGTTTTATGATTTATTTATCTATAAAAAAATGAAAAGCCTTTGAATCTTCAGTATTTGAGATATCTGCCATTTAAAGACTCTAATGTTCAAAAAAGGGTTGTTTTTAGCGATTTGTATCAATGTATCTATATATCTCTCTAACTATCGAAATATCTATATATATATCCACCCATCCATTAATCTTTCTATCAATCTATCAATGTATCTAAAAACGGTACTAATGAAGTTATGCTTGTGGGGAAAGTGGTTGACAATAGATGTGTTTAGGCTTTGAAAAATTACTAAGATGCCCAAAAAAAATCTGCTATTTGAAGACTATCGATCCATCTATCTATCTATCTATTTATCTATCTATCTACCTTTCCATCTGTCCATCCATCTATCCATCTAATTGTGCGTCTTCATCCCCCCTCCCTCAACCAGCACCAATTGAAAGCACTGACTGTAGATTTATGACTTTTAGCTGCCTGACTTTAACCCCCACACAGATGGCCTGAAAATTAATCTGGCCCATATTGAGTGACCACATTTGGCCTTGTGACGAGTCAAAGGCTGGACAACAAAACCGAAAGGCCTCAAGAGATAAAAGGTTCCCAGACAGTGACTAGTAGTTGGCTTTGTTCGGGTTGGGGTCACCTCGAGGTGTCCAACCGGCCAATGGGCTTCTTTTAAAATGCTTTTAACGCCACAGAGCAGTGACACAGGGCTGAGAAATGAACGCAAATTAAACAGAATCTTAACGGAAATACGTGAAGCAGATAAGTGAGGATAGGCACGTCATCCGTAATATTCTTCCCTTAAAATGGTCTTGTTTTTGTCCAAAATGCTGAATCAAAGTGCAGTGAAGTAAATAAGTACATTTACTCAAGTACTTAAGTACTATTTGGCCTATTTGTACTTGAGTATATCCATGTAATGCTATACTTCTATTGCCTTACATTTTGAAACATTTATTGTACTTTTAGCTACTGTTTATAAAACACATGACATTATTATATAATCATGCAGTACGTTACTACTTTTACTTTTGATACATTAAGTACTTTTAGCTGGTAATACTTCTATACTTCTACTAAAGTAACATTTTGAATAGAGGGCTTTCCCTTTGTTGTACCAGTAAAGGATCGAAGTACTTCTTCCACCTCTGTCAAAGCGTCTAAAATAAAAACATTTTGCATTGTTTAATCGATTGTAAATCCATGTTCAGGACTGCATGATGATTTCTGCTTTTGGCTGCAGCCTCTAGGTACGGATGCTCCGCCAAAAGCTTTTTAATAAGTCCTGCAATGTTTTACTTCTGCGTAATAAACTCTAATGAAGAGAGGAGGAAGGAGAAAATGATTTTGCTTGGCTGAGGCATTAAAGGAGCTCATGCGGAGGGTGTAAATGGTTTGAAGATATTTGGCACGGTTGACTGAGTGCAAGTGAATTAAAGATTATACGGGCTTAAGGGCGTAATATATCTGATGTAATGAGTCATTTGTTCCGGATAGATCATAAGGAGTGACTGCCAATGACTGATAAGCTACCAGATAGGCGATAAAGTGGCTGAATCTCACTTTTATCTCAGCTTGAATGTTTTCTTTCCTTCTGTTTCATATCGCTCAGCACGTATGAACACACAATCTGAGCTGAATGAGTCCCTTGCTTCTCTTCAATAACTTCCACTGAGAAGCAATACACCGTATGGAAAGCACTTGCTTCAGGGGAACACAACTCCTCTCTCCATTTCACATGATTTTCTACCTTTTTAAAGGGACAATTTCAAACATTAAAGCAAGACCATGCAACATTATTTATAACCAGGCACATGCATCAGAACAAAAATGGGAAACAGACTTCAAATATCAACAAAATTCTAGCTATTTATTGTTGTTAAGCTTTGAATAAGAGGTTTGTTAGACCATGCAATCAGTAGCGTGAATGTGTGTGAAGGTGACGTTAAGAAACAAAGGGTATCAGTTGTTTATCTGCAGCTCTTTAATAGCGTTGGCTGCAGACATTACATCACTGAGACTGTGCTGCAAGACACATTGATGTTTTAATTAAGACTCAACTGAGCGGACTTTAATACTTAATTAGATCCAGTGGTGTAATCACATCCTACTGTGTGTAACTCGACATGTGCGAACCATCCTGATGATCAGTTTGCTTTTGGTGCAGTGGTGACGTATTTGTATAGGCTGACCTGGAAGTTAGCATCACAAGGGCATCTTTGACGAAAAGCCAATGGGATTGTTCCATTGGATTTTGGAATATTGCAGAAAATAGGCTTTTGTGGGCAACACACATCATTCCTATTTGTTTTGATCAGCAGGATAATCTCCACATATTAACACCACTTTTAAGATTTCAGCCAATAAAGGAACTACAGCGCGGTCACATGACTTCACTTCACCACCCCTAAGCTAAAGGCGGCTAATGTTGGGCTATAAAGGAACTACAGCACGGTCACATGACTTCACGTCACCACCGCTAAGCACCGCTAAGCTAAAGCAGGCTAATGTTGGGCTATAAAGGAACTACAGCACGGTCACATGACTTCACGTCACCACCGCTAAGCACCGCTAAGCTAAAGGTGGCTAATGTTGGGCTATAAAGGAACTACAGCGCGGTCACATGACTTCACTTCACCACCGCTAAGCTAAAGGCGGCTAATGTTGGGCTATAAAGGAACTACAGCAGTGAAGTGAAGTCATGTGACCGCGCTGTAGTTCCTTTATAGCCCAACATTNCACCTTTAGCTTAGCGGTGGTGACGTGAAGTCATGTGACCGTGCTGTAGTTCCTTTATAGCCCAACATTAGCCGCCTTTAGCTTAGCGGTGGTGACGTGAAGTCATGTGACCGTGCTGTAGTTCCTTTATAGCCCAACATTAGCCACCTTTAGCTTAGCGGTGGTGACGTGAAGTCATGTGACCGCGCTGTAGTTCCTTTATAGCCCAACATTTGCTTTTTACTTCTGGTGATTGCATTTAAGCTTCCGTAAATACCTCACAGGTAAATGTACAAACAACAGCTGCTAACCAGTGTCTAACTGA